AAAGTTGCAACTTTGTGTACTTACTATTCTGTTTTGTAGGTTGAAGTTTTTTTTTTTTTAAATTTTTGAGAAGGGATCAGTTTAGTACATTTTAGATATTCATAATGATCACATTCATCAAAGGGATTTGTACCTGTTCATAACATTCTTTTTTTCCCTAGTCCCCTCCCCCCTCTTCAACCACTCAATATGTGCCCCCAGCTAGCCTCAAACTTGAGGCGATTGTTCTGCCTCAGCTTCCCATGTACTGGGACTACAGATATGCACCACGATGCCCTCTGCAGGAGGAGAATTTTAAAAGTGAATATGATCTAAAATACTTGCACTGCCAGACAAAGCTTTATTATGTCCACAAACAACATGATGAGTATCACTTTTGTTAGAAATTATAATTTGCTTATTAAAACACATATACTTGCATCTATGTCACATAACTGAAAGACTGATTTAGACACCCCTCTTTTAAACTAGAATCTCTATTTAGCTCAGCGGCATAAGCATCTGCCTTGCAAGCAGCCGGTCGTGAGTTCGATCCCCGGTACTGATGAAAAAAAAAAAAAACCAAAAGCTAGAATCTTAACTCTTGGCAACTTCTTAGAGAGCAAATGTACATGTATTTATTGATAATGTTGTCACAAATTAAAGATAAACATCTCTGTGCTGTTTATTATATATTAATTCCTTAAATTCCAGTCATAAATTATAAACAAGAATGAACAATTATATTAGGGTTCATAAAGCACCTGGCAGTGGACATTTGATTAATGAATTTAAAGTATTACATATTATAAACTACTTAGTAAAAACACTTGCACTTTTACTTTAAATAAATCACTATGTAGGTCTTGGAATGTTATTCTGTTTTGTAGTTAAATTAATCTGCTTACTATTCTAGGCTTGGAACACAGTAAGTTTGGAATACGTTCCCACTGACTCACATGGAAAAGTCAGCAGACAGCCCTTGCCACTTGTGTGAAGTGGCTATTTAACCATGAAGGAAACCGCGTTTACTGCCACTGCCCTGTGGCTGTGCTCTTTCTGGCAGCGATGTCCATATTTGGTGGCTGTGCATGGAGAGCCAGGTGGTGCTGAACGGCACCGCACAGTGAAGCATGGCTATATCTAGGTTTGACATTTGTCATCCCTCACTGCTGGAGGGAAGGGGAAAATCTGTTTTTCCATATGTTTGTGCTTTTTTTTGCCTGCAGTTTTGTCCAGATGGTCTTATGAACATTGTTTACTTTGGGATGCTATCCCAGATGTTTTGAAAACTGATGGGTAAATGTGGTACACAGATACGTAAATCATTTGCATTTTGTAGTTTTTAAAATACTATTTGTTTTTGTAAGATTAAAATATGGTATTTTTCCAAGTGAAAAAAATATAGTTATATTCTGTAGTTTATTTCCTCCAGCATTCTATTTTCATGTTAAAAAGTTAAGTAATAACAAGGCAACATTTATTAAGAAGGTGAAGTAAGAAAGTCGAGGTTCACGTTCATTCAGGGTTGCATGTACCCAAATCCATAAGAATCTTGCCTCATTTTTAAAAAAATAATTATTTTTATTGTGTATAAGTCATAGGTGAAAATTTAGGTAGTAAATGATCTGTAATTAAAATCAGAAGATTATGATTCTGAACAAATCACTCTTCCAAGACCGAGTTTTATAAGCAAAATAAAGTTTTCCACCTTGCAAAAAAGACAGTATTTGGAATAATTAACTCATCTTAAGTTCTTAAAAATCGCTGTGAAACCATCTGTTGGGAGCAGATTCAGTGAGACTTTGAAATCTGCCTCTTGTGGGTCCTGCTTAGAACCCCAGACACAAATGAGGTGGTCTGTGCTGTCTGCAGACCCAGCCGGGTTCCACACTGGGCGCCCTCTGCGTAGAATTTCTTCAAGCTGGCAACTTTTTCTTTTGATTTTGTGTTCAATCCAGACTTGAATACTGTTGCCTCTTCCTCCTTTTCCTTTTCTCCATGCCTGCCCTCTGTGCTTCAGTGACCCCGCCGTTGGTTGTTCGGCCTGTGCTGCACACTTGTCATTAGTGTAGGATTAATCTCTTATCATTTATTTTATTATCTGGAGAGGAGGAGGAGAGACCTATCTTGCTAGTTCTTTTGTGGGGTTGTGAGTTAAAAACAGCTCCTTAATATCTGAAAAACAGATCCAACAACAATCAATAATATTTTTAAAAAACAAGAATATAGGGGAGAAAACAGTTTATGAAAAAAAATGCAGCATAGGATAGCTAAAAAGTTGTTAGAACTTGGAAGAAAAACATTTTCTATGAAATAGACTTGTTTAACAAAAGAAATACCTTAGAAACCAGTGTCTTTTTCTTAGTGAGCTATTTGTACATTTTAAAAAGAAAAGTCAGCCTTGGGTGTAGCTCAGGGGTAGAGTGCTTGCCTTGCATGTATAAGGTCCTGGGTTCAGTCGTGAGTACCACACACATGTGTGTGTGAAAGAAATTAGAGATAATATTTACAATATGCAGGAAATTAATAAAGAAGAAAAAACGTGAAGGCAAATAATGGATAGAATTGATTTGAAGGGGCTCATGAAGATAAAGGCTTTGGCACATACAGCTTTTTTGAGATACTCTCACAGATGTTTAATTTTAAACAATTGCATAGTGCTTACTGTTCCTGGAACTTTGCAATTATCATTTCATTTGATTTTTATAAAAAAAAATCTATGAGAAAATGTGTTAGCTCTGCTTCGTTGCTCATTGGAGCCCCATTCCTCTGTGATTTTTCTTTGGCAAGCATCACAAGTGTGACCTTATTTGGGCTGACGAGTATGCCTGACATCAATCTGCCTCTACCTTAGACTAAGACTTCTCTTTCTGAAGTTTGCTTTCTGCTCCTGTCTCTGACAACAAGGTCATCTTTATCCTACTTTGTATTTTTTAAACCTCATGCAAAATTGGGGGAGGTATCTTAATTTATTTCTTGGTAAAAACTCAGTCCTAAGCATGGGAATGCTAACTTTCTCCTGGATCTGTTGTTTAATCTTGTAGATATTTATTTATGTGATTTTTAATGTATGTTCTGGGACACAGAACAGTGCTCAGAGGCATCCCCTGATCTCTGTCAATCAGCAAAACATTTAACTTGTAACACAAGGTAGCATGTCAGTATTAGAAAAATAGCATATGTAAAGAGCTATAAGTTCTGAGGGTCAAAAGGCATTTAAAATAACAACCAGTTAAAACCAAAACATTTAAGAACTTGAAAAATTCCTGTCAAACTTCAAATTACAGTCAGTCTTCCATATTCATGGGTTCAGCATCTGTAGATTTAAGCAACAGCAAATCAAAATATTTGTAGAAAAATTACGTCTGTACTGCACATGTATAGACTTTTTAAACAGTATAGTTTAACCACTGTCTACTTATGTACATCATATTAGCTACTAAAAGTAACCTAGAGATGACTTAAATTTAGACGAGGAGGATATATGAAAGTTATGTGCAAACACACCATTTTTTGTGAGAGGATTGAGTGTCTGCAGACTTGGGGGTCCTGAATCCAAACACCTGGGGTGCTGAGGGATAGTTATATACTATCTCCCCTCGGGATGCAGAGAGTTATCTGCTGTCAAGTAGATATGATCAGCCAGCTCATTCATAAGTGGGAGATACTATTTATTTCTACATTCTTATTAAAAATGAACTGACAATGTAATTTTCAGATGTACATTAATTATGCAGGTAATAAGCCCCAGACATACATTTATATGTCAGATACTTACTCCTTTGTGTATTATACTATGGCTGTATTAATTTCCTTAAACCTCCGTGTGTGTGTGTGTGTGTGTGTGTGTGTGTAGGGGTTTCTGGGTTTGAACCTGAGCCTTGTGTGTGGCAAAGAAGTACTCTGCCACTTAGCTATATTCTCAGCCCAGTTTTTTCAAACTTTCAGTTTTGACAACTTCAAACTAAAAGGAAAGTTGCAGGAATTGTAATTAAAAAAACAAAAACAAAAAACCCCTGCTACTAAGATGGTGACTTTCCTAATTCTATCATTTCTTCTGATTATTAGGTGGCTTTCTCTTGTGGAATTTCTCTTCCCCCCTTTTTTTTTCATTAAATGTCTGTTATTAACTCAGGTATTATTCTGTGAGTAATGTATTATTCTACACCCACTTTGATGGTCAGATTGTGTACCGCACTGGACAGTGGGTGCATGTGTAGTACTATATATTTTTTTGTTGGTGGTGGTAGGGGTTGATGGGCGTAAAGGCAGGATTTTGCTCGCTCTGTGTTTCAAGCAGACCTGAGCCCTAGGGAATCTTTCTGTCTGACCCTCCTGGGTACTGGGATTACAGGCATGTTAACACTACGCCTCCTTTGGGCCTGCGTGTTGTGATCTACTCCTACTTGTTTTGTGTCTTTGCTGGCCCAAGGCTTCGAAACAGCTTTTCTTCAAGGAATTCTCTTTCTATTTAAGTGGGGAATGGTGTTTAGAAGCTAGATCTCTTCTGATCATTTTTCTTTTATAGTTTTCTCATTTATTAGTTTTGAGTCAGGATTTCACTGTTTAGTACAGATCTTGTGATCCTCTTCTGTCAGCTTCCCAAGTGGTGAGATTAAAAGCATGCTTCCAAAACCAGCTCTTACTTTTTTCTTGATTGTGATTCTGTACATTTAAAAAAAAATTTTTTTTTATACTGGGAATTGAACTTACGACCTCGTGCTTGCCAGGCAGGCATTTACACCACTGAGCTAAATCCCTGGCTGTACATTTAATTTTTAAACTCATCTGGAATTTTTTCTATACTCTGATATAAGATAAAGTCTGTATCTTAAACAAATATAAATTAACTGCAGTAACAACACAGTATAAACCAAACATATTTGTGTTTGTATTCTTGTCCTTTGGGAATACTGATTAAGGGAGGCCATCTTAATTTTAAATAATGTATTGAAATTGCCAGATAACATATGTTTAATTTTACATCTCATGTCAGTTATGTTTTCTCTAACTTGTAGGTACATTTTCTAGAATCATAAAACTTTGTGAAGAAAAACGTGAATCAAGTGAAATAAAGAAAGGAGGAAAAAGTAGCAATGTTCCATCTGTAAAAGGAATTACAAATTTAGGAAATACCTGCTTCTTTAATGCAGTCATTCAGGTAAGAATTAACAGAAATATTTGTAAAATGTAAGCTATTGATTTATATGTGCATCTGTGGACTATGAAGTAACCGCTAAATTTTCCTTTAGAAATTTCTGTTTCCTGTGTTTCAGTGCAGGCTATCTTTGCCTATTGTCATATACACACATACTTTTTCACATGTGATTCTGACAGGTCATCTGTGTATTTTACCGTAACTTTATTGGTAATAGTGATATTTACTCAATGTCATATGCAGTAAATTAAAATTTATGCATTTTTGCTGTGGTGGATGAAATTTGAAATTTTGAGAGCGTATTCATTTCATATAATATACCTGAGACTTGACTTGACTTTCTTTTAGAACCTGGCACAGACTTATATTCTTATTGAACTAATGAATGAGATACAAGAAGATGGTACAAAATTAAAGATCTCTCCTTCCACCGATTCTCAGCTGGTAAGAAGTAATTATATAAGTAATAGATGTTTTCAGATGAATCACTGATGTTGCCAAAATACATCTTTCTGTTTCTCAGAACTCTCCATTGGAATGGTAGTCAGCAGATTTTAAAAAAATAAATCAAAACTGGGCATAGTGGCATATGTCTATAATCCCAGTGCCTGGGAGGCTGAGGCAGCGGATCCGTGACTTCTGGGCTAGCCTGGGTACAAACTGAATTCAAGGCCAGCCTGCACCTAAAGCAAGAACCCATCTCAAAAACAACAACAATAACAAAAAACCCAAACTAACAAGCAAATTCAAAATGCTTTTTAAAAATAATTAGATTTAAAATTATTTATTTTTTGATACCAAGAATCACACATGTGCTTGCCCAGCAAGTGCTGTGCCACTGAGCTATATTCCTGGCCCAGATTTGAAGTATTTTAAATGATAAGTTTAAAACACATTATTTAAGTACATTATGGATCAAACTGTATAGACTCTTGAGACAGCTTTTAAACAAATGTACTAGAAAAACAAAGGGGTGTTAACTTTGTTGAGCAAAATATTTAGGACTACTATTTTGTAGTTTCTTGTGGCATTTGTTTAAATTTAGTGTTCTGATCTTTAAAAGTAGATTTGATGGGGAGCATCTGAACTTTCCTTTGAAGACTAATCTGATAATGAATTTTTAAGATAGTAAGAAAGAGGAACAAGCTAGCAGATAAAAACAGAAGATCAGTCCCTGACATTCCAAAGCCTGCCCACTACCCACTCATGCTGTCATTCAGATAGTCCCACAGGGAAGCAGCTGAAGATGAGGTTTCTCCGAGACGGTAAAACAATACAAAGGAATCCCTCCAAAATTTGTTTAGATACAGACAAAAATAATGTCACTCTGCCATTTATAACACCCCATCACCCTCTCCTTTAACCAAAACAAGAAATGGATTATTACTGCTTCTTCACCACATAAGATTCAATGTGTCCTCTCCTTTTCCATGGCTAAGACGTACTGAGGGGCCCCTGCTTGCTCACAGCATCCAGTCTAGAGTGAATCTGTGCTTCTGTAGGTCCTTCCTCCAATTACCAGCCAAGGCCTACCTCCTGTGCAGGTTCTCTGGACCACTCTCCTAACGCCGGGCCCGCAGTGGTGTTTGGACAACCTCATGCCATAGTCCACTCCTAACTGTCGGCGTGTCCCTGATGGACTCTGGCTGTAGGGAATTGATTGTAGTAATGGGGGTTTTAGGTAGAAATTGAGAACTGGTAGCTGGGTATGGTTGTATAAGCCTGTGACAAAATCTCTTTTGAAGGAAAAAAATAACTGTTTCTAAAATATGTTACCCCTTGGTCTTTCAAAACTATCTCCTGGTAAGAATAATTTAAGGAAGTAGTTTTCAAAGACCAAGGGGTAACATATTTTAGAAACATTTTTTTCTTCCTTCAAAAGAAAGATTTTGTCACATAATTCCTCATTCCTTATATAAAATATCTGGGGAAGCAAAAGATGTGCAGTTTTTTTGGTAAAAGTAACAGAATTATTTGTAAAAATGTACAAAAATCAAGTAGATTATTACTTGTAGAGGAGCTCATTATGCAACAGTTATAAGCAAGTAAGGATTGGCAATTTTATTCAAGCCAACAGTTTTATTAAGTAAAGGGCAGAAAATATTAAAAATACCTGTGCTTTTCAAGGTAAGGCATTTAATCCTGTGTTTTGTTTTATATATTCATTTTTAGATATGAAGAAATAAAGTTTTGTAATAATTTGAATCACCTTATGCCATTTATATAAAGTATAACAATTTTTAAATGTTTTATTTTGAAACATACAGTTTGATATATAATCATTTGACTGACTGACTGACTGATTGGTTGATTGACCATTTTTTACAGGACCCATTATCTGTGGAACTTTCAAGCCCTGGACCTCTGACCTCAGCCTTGCTCCTTTTTCTTCACAGCATGACAGAGACTGAAAGGGGACCACTTTCTCCCAAAGTTCTTTTTAACCAGCTTTGTCAGAAGTGAGTGCGTCTCCATTCTTCATACAAACCATCATGTCCTAATACAGATGTCACTCTTACCTGACCCTCTTACTGCCGCTGCTGCCCGGCCCTGGAGAGAGAACGTGTGCATATGCGAGTGACGCGTCTCATAATTCTTTAAAGAAGTGATAAGGGATCCTTGTTATAGAAGAAACTCAGACTGCCAAAAATTAAGCAGCACACCTAGTATAAGAAAGAAAAAGATAGGGGCAGGGATTTAGCTCAGCGGCGTAAGCGCCTGCCTTGCAAGTGTGTGGCCGTGAGTTTGATCCCTGGTACCAAAAAAGATATAAAAAAAAAAAAAAAGAAAAAATGGACCTTGTTCTAATAGAGCTTCTAAGTTGCTTTAGTCTACAATTACTGAAATATGAAGAAAAATTTCTTTAAATGTGAACTTGCATTTTTGTATATCTAGATTTTAAAATCTTATTTTAATTTAAAGGTATTCCAAAACATAGCAAATTTGGTGTCTGTTTTCCTGGTTGGTAAATGTTGTTTCGTTGAAGCCTGAAGGCCAGAAGTGATAAGTCTGCTAAATACTCAGCAATGGGGCTGGGGATTGTACTTAAGACCCTGAGCTGAATTAAAGAGACACACCATAGAAGACTCCGAGATATGGAAGCCTCATTGAGTTAGGCTGTTTTCAGGGCATCACGCACTTGGGAAAGCTTTTTGTTTTGTTTCAGCAGGACTCAGGGTGGAGCCCGAGACCTGAGCGCGGTAGGCAGGCCAGCCTTCTACCGCCTACTCCAGCTGCAGTCCTTTATCCAGAGGCAGGCTCGCAGAGTCACCAGACTGGCTGGGACCTTGCAGGGCGCTTGCCTCCGCTCCTGAGTAGCGGGGATTGCAAGTCTGGACCGTGATGGCTAGTTAGATACTTATTTTTGTCTCAGCTAAAAAAACCCTTTATTGTGTATTCGTCTTTTTCATGTGTTTTTGGTGTCACTTGTTTTTACAGTACTAGGATTGAACCTAAGGTCCCAGGAATGCTGGCTAAGTACTCTACCACTGGGCTATACCCCCAGCCCTTTTCATTGTGAGATAAAGACTCATTAAGTTGCCAACGTTGGCTTTTAACTTGCGATCTTCCTGTCTCAGTCTCCCAGCCAAGACTCCTGTGAACCACCACACCTAACTTTTTCCTGATTTTATAAAGATTTATAAAAATTGAAAAAAATATTATTAAGATACTAGGTACTGGGCTGGGGATTTAGCTCAGTGGTTCAAGCACTTGCCTAGTAAGTGTAAGGTCATGAGCTCGATCCCCAGTACCAAAAAACAAACAAACAAACAAAAAAACAACAACAAAGATACTAAGTACTTATAGATGAAAACTCAAATTTCTACCTACTCTTATTCCTCAACCATAACTACTACAGGTTTGGTACTGTTATCTGAGGTCATTAGGACCAGAAATATTTTCAGTTTTGGATTTTTTTCTGCTTTGGGAATGTTTTTGTTGTATATTGAGATGTCTTTGAAAGAAGGTCCAAATACAAATATAGTTTCATATAAACATCTAAACAAAGTTTCATATATACCTTCTAAAGAAAATCTGACGGTGATTTTGTACAATATTTTTAATACATCTGTATTTTGACTATAACCCATCACATGCGGTAAGGTGTGGATTTTTTTTTTTTTTACTGTGTGTTATATTTGTATTCAAAATGTTTTGGATTTTGGATTTTCAGATCAGGGATGCACCACTTGCAGCACCTGTTTCTTATTTTTTCCAAAGTGATGCATACATGGGCATTTATATGCAAATTGTTCACAAATTGGTTATTTTCCTTGATGTATTTTATATAATTTTAAATTTTAATACAAATGAATATACCTTGAGTGTGTGTGTATTGTGACTGTGTGGATGTCTTATTTCACTTGTGGGAATATGTTTATGGAATAAATTCTTAGGAAAAGAATTCCTGTATCAACATTATTTGAAAAGTTTTCAAATTGCATTTTTATACTTATTTTAAGATTTTTGTATTTATTTTAATGTATTAGAAAGCTACTTCAGAAAAACAGATAAAGATTTAAGCCATGTATGCTTGGGTCTGTTTTTTGTTTGTTTGTTCATTTGTTTGTTTTTTTGAGACACAGTCTTGATACGTAGTTCAGGCTGGCCTGGAACTCATCGTCAAGCACTGTGGTCCTCTTTAGTCTCTTGGGTACTGGGACTACAGGTGTATACCAGTGTGCCCCGATGAAGATTGTTTTATTTATTTCTTTCTAGTCTCAGCCTTTCTTCTTTTTCTTGCTTTGTATCACTGGCAAGACTTCCAGTACAGTAGTAAAGTGGTGATATTAAGGAGGGATATTCAGTCTTTCCCAGAATGATAACTGTTGGTTTTCATAAATGATTTTTTTCAGAACAAGGAAATTACCATTTATTGTTAATTGTTTCTTAAGAGTTGTTATTAAGAGTGGATGTTAATCTTTTAAAAATGGCTTTTGGGGGCTGGGGATTTAGCTCAGCGGCATAAGTGCCTGCCTTGCAAGCAGGCAGTTGTGAGTTCGATCCCCGGTACCAATAAAAAGGAAAAAGACAAAAAAAAAAGGCTTTTGAACATCTGCTAAAATAATACATGTCTTTTTTAGTGTGTTGAAATAACAGATTGTATTGATAAATGTTCTAACTGGCTTTAGTGAGGCATATTTTATATACAATAAACTGTAAATTTTAAAGAATACTGTGGGATGTAACAGATTTATACATGTTGCTATAAACAGTATGCATATAAACAGTATAAAATATGTATGCACCATCCTAAAAAGTTTCCTCTATCTCTCTGTAATGCCTCCCTCTGGACGTCCTCCCCTAAACTCCCTCTCTCCCGGGTACTTGTTTTTGTTACTATTACTTCTATTTGTTTCCATTTTTAAGAATTTTATATAAATGGGAACATAGTGTATACTTTAAAATATGGCTTCTTTCTCTTGCCCATAATAATTTTGTGATTCATCCATGTCGTATGTGTATCCTGATTGATTTTTTAAAGTTGGATTAATCTGTTGAAGTTTCTGTGACAGTGATGATTATCAGCACTGCAACTACTTCTTGGGAGCAGTTTCTTCAATTACTTGTCTTTTTGTAAATGATTTTATTTTGAAGTAGTTTTAAGGCTCAGATCAAATTACAAAAACAGTGTTGCGTTATTGTGTATCCTTACAGCATCATCCATGTTTGTATCTTACGTAAACATACACTGTCAAATCCTGAAAGCTGATAGGAGCACAGTGCTGTTCTGCTGGTGCGGGTCTTCTCCAGGTTTCACAGGCATTCTTTCTGAAAAGGTCCAGGATGGTGTGTCTGTCCACTCTCCTTCGGAACTCCTTTCACTCCCTGTGTTTCTTCATTTTGCAAACTAGTACTGATGTGCTTGGGCTTTGGGTACTGGTGCCAGGAGGAGGAGTTTGTTCCTGAGGAAATGTACTCAGCTGAACAGTGTGTTGTGGTGTTGGTGGCATGTTTTGTGGTCTTCTGAGAGTCACCAGAATCCCTGATAGAATAAAAGTATAGTACTATGTACTGTAGTATTCTAGCTGTGTTCCTAGGTGTGTTTTATTATTTGTTTGTTTGTTGTTGTTTTGCAGGTCCAGCAGTGTGATCTACCATTTAGCTATATCCCCAGCCCACTTCGATGTTGTTTTGAGTGTGTGTGTGTGTGTGTGTGCACACGCGTGCGCGTGCGCGGCTGAGGAGTGGACCAGGGCTTTTGCACTGAATTGTATTGCCAGCTCACTTCATGGCACCCTCTCTCCTTCCCTCCTTTCCTTCCTTCCTCCCTTGCGTTTGCTTTTCCTTCGTCTCCCTCTCCCCCTTCCTTCTTTTTGTGGTACTGAGACTAACCCTAAGGCTTTCTCACTGAGCCATAGTATAATCCCTTTTTAAATTTTTACTTTGAGGCAGAGTTTTACTGAGTTGCCCGGACTGGATTTAAACTTTCAGTCGTCGTCTTAACTAGGCTTCGTGGTTCATACCTGTATTCCAGCACTCAGGAGGCAGAGGCAGGAAGATCGCCCCAAGTTCAAGGGCCGGCCTGAGCTACGTAGTGAGATCGAGGCCAGCCTGGAATACATAGCAAGACTCTGTTTCAAAAAACAAATGCAAAACAAAATAAAAACGTAAAATCAATGCTCTTATTCTCCGCTTCCCGAAGTTCTGGGATGACAGGTGTGCCTGGCTAATGTTGTTTTCTAATTTAGGTACTCACCCTTCCCCTGTGTTTAGTCTAGATCTATTTCGGTTTTTGTATTTTTATGTGGGGTAATGTCACTGGACAGAATCCAAGGAGATCCCCAAATCAGAGACTCGTTTGGCCCGAAAGAACTTAGGCAAACGCTGTGTGGGCCTCAGGAGAACACAGACCCAGCCCAGAGGGGCCGCGCCAGCTTTGCTCACAGTCACAGTGGTGTAGTGAGGCCCTAGCCCCGGCCCAGGGACCAGGATGAGGGCAGCTGAAAACTGGAAAGCTTCGGGCAGGGAGAGGAGAAAGGAAGTGGTGAGAAGGGTAGAGGAGGAAGTGGAAAAACCGGAGAGCAGAGAAAACAAACGAGCAGAATTAGCAGAAACCCCCACAGACCAGCATGCTAAGAGTCACCAATTAGAATGTGTTTGCATTATCTCCAAATAAATGGTATAAAACTGTCCCAAAACGTTACAATATGTTGAAAATATAGGGCTAAGCTCTTTCGGGCCCAGTGAGTCTTTTTTTGTTTTGTTTTTTGTCTTTGATAGATTTTTGTTCCATTTTTGCTCTGAGGATTTACTTTATGTTGAATCCCATTTCTGCTTTTATTTCTCTGTGTATGTTTTGTGGATATGTTTGTAGCAGAGTGAGTTTTGGGACTATGACTGATTCATCATTGCCCACAAGACATCGCCACGGATTCTTGTTCTCAGTTTTTTCTCTTTCTTGATGGTCTCTGTTTTGTGCTTATACATACATTCTCCTAGTATGTCCTGAAGTTGCTTTGTTTGTGTTTTTGTTTTGTAGAATGGGGGATTAAACTCAGAAGCTTGCACATATTAGGCAAGCACTCTGTCTTGCTTAAATTTTTCAATTTGACACACGGTCTCGCTAAATTGCCCAGGCTCATATTGAATTTGTAATCCTTCTGCCTCAGCCTTTCCGAGTAGCATGATTACAGGCATGCACTACCACATCTAGTCATGTGGAGGTTTTAGTAACATTCTCACTTAAGTTACAGTTCTTATGAATATTTAGTGTTTCCTTTGTTTTGAATAGACTGTTTTTATAGTTCAGTAGATTTTCTCTTTGTGGTCTTAAATTTGAAGATTTTTTGATATTGGTAGCTCAGATAAGCTCTATTAGAGGTCTGTAGGTCACTGTAGTATTTTTTCAGTCAGTTTTATTACATATTTTACAGGTTCATTTAGAAGGCAGTAAGTAGTTGCATGGCTGAGATGGAACTGGAGGAGAGGAAGTGGAGGCGGTTTCATCTTTGTTCAGGGTTGATCTCTTTCCTGTATCTATCTATCTATCTTTCTTCCTTCCTTTCTTTCTTTCTTCCTACCGTCCTTTCTTTCTTTTCTTTTCTTTTCTTTCTTTCTTTCTTTCTTTCTTTCTTTCTTTCTTTCTTTCTTTCTTTCATTCATTCATTCATTACAGATAGGCACCACCATGCCCCGCTTCATGTCTTTGCTTTGAAAGGCATGAACTATCTGGTTGTTCTCCTTGTTACCTGGCTAGTGAAGATTCCAGAAAACTTCCCATTTCCCCTTCAAGTCATCTTCCACTTCCCGATCTTTCCTGATATCTGCGGCACAAATATGTTGTGTAGTTTCTGCTTCTCATGATGCTAGCTGTGGTGGCCCATGTAGGGTTGCAATTTGTGTCCACCTTGGTTTCTGTCCTTCCTGTCCCTGATCTAGGATGTTGGTGCTCTCTACCATATGCAGAAAGGGCATCTCCTCGGGGGAGTAAATGACGGTATTCCCAGCATCATGGTGTTATTTACTGCTACTTGGCAAAAGAATAACTGAGAAGTGTTTCCTCTGGCAAGCTAGGTTCACTACCAGTTCGGTTAGCCCTCTGGGCTCAGTTGGAGTGGGGCTCAACTAGAGCATTACTAGGGTGCTCAGTATGAAGAGTCTTCAAGTCCGGGCTTAGTCAGAAGACGTGATTGATGGGAGTGGTGCGTAGCTGGTTCTGCAGTTCTGGCCAGTGTAAATGCTGTTCATAGTTTTAATACATTCTTTAACAGTATTGTGCATATCAAATGAGATATGTTTTAATGTATATATCATAATGAAATAATTATAAATGTGTCTTGTACCACCATAAGATATTTAATTACAGAACACTAATTATCAAATCTTAAAAGACATTCACATAGATACCAATTTATAGTCCTAAGTTTTAATATGAATACCTGCCTTTCTGTTCATTCTTTAAGGTAGAAAGATAAGTAACAGTGGCTGGGGTTTGAATGCTTTCATTTTTTAGCTGTATAAGATCTTGCAGGTTATTTCCTCCTTCTAAGCCTTCATATATATAAACTGGAGAAAACAGTATGTCTCAGCCACATTGTGGACATTATGACTTGAAACTGTTAGTACGGACTTGATTTACAGTATTTGTTTAATAAATTATAGTCATTTGTTCTCAGTGTACGTTTATAAAGTCATCTTGATTGGAACAAAAATCACATTTTGTCTTTCTCCTTAGTTGAAAGAGTAGTGATTGAGTCTTGGATTATTATTTCAAAATGATTTTAAGTAAGACTGACATTGTTGATGACCTGTGGAATGATTATTGTTTTTTTTCCTGATTTGTTTTTAAATCATAGGGCTCCTCGATTTAAAGATTTCCAACAACAGGATAGTCAGGAGCTTCTTCATTATTTGTTGGATGCTGTGAGGACAGAAGAAAAAAAGGTCAGGTTTCTTAATGTTTAATTGTATACTTTCTTTAAGAAAAGGATACACAACAGAAAGAATTTTATTATAATTTTAAAATACAGTAAGAGTTCACTTGATTTTATTTTTAGTATCCTATATTTTTTATTCCTTTCTTCTGTGATACTTTCTTTCATCCTTTTGTAGCCCCACTATTCTTTATTAGTTAATGCTGTTTGGCAGTAAATGAAATAAATCAATTTAAACTAGCTTAAATAAAGAAAAGAGAATCTTGGTTGCGTAGGGCAGTGCACGCTTGCAGCCTTAGGAGCTTAGGATGCTAAGGCAAGAGGATCACTTGAGCCCAGAAATTTGAGGTTCGCCTGGGAAATTTAAGAGACCTTTGTCTCAGAAACAAAGAAAGAAACAGACAAACACCCTTACAGATCCAGGCCAACGTGGATATATCTCAGGAATATAAAGGCAGAAGAGAAATCAGAAATCTAGGAAGCATTCACCTCATTTCCCTAGTATCTTTGTCTCTGTAGGTTTTCATTTATTTCTTTGCAAACTCAGTAGTTTTTTCTCTGTCTAAATGATAGTGTGTGGCAACTGTAATTTGCATGCTACAGGTCCACATATACAGGAAATGGGCTGACAGATTCCCAGTAGAATGAAATGTCTTCATTCCATGTTGGATTAGGTTCTGCTCCGGGATCAGTGAGTGGTGACCGGCAGCATAGTCTCAGCCTTGTGAATCAGGGGACTCTTAGAAAAGAAGGAATAGTTGATGAACAGATTTCCCAGTGTTTATTGCAGTGCTGTCCATGACTCGGATGCATTGGTTGTTTACTGACTTCAGTGTTAAATTAGTAAAATTCAAATTTGGGCGTGGTTCTATGCAAATATGATGTAATTTTTACATTACAGCATAATATGTCTGAACCTCTAGAACCATAAGCTAAATAAACTTCTAGTCACTATAAATTACTTGGTGTTAAGTATTTCATTATAGCAACAGGAAATAGACTAAGGCATCCCAGTTTCTTACACATAGGAGACATTGTAACCATTTGTCACAGTCCTACTGAGTCTGCACTGAGCCTTGGAAGTACTCTCTGATTATACCACTGTGGGCCACCCCTGTCAATCAAAAGTATAATTGGCATAACAGATGAAAAACTGGTCTTGCATTGGAGACAAAGTAGCCTTTTCTGTTTATTTATTTATTATGTACTTTTTCTTATGCATGGCAGGCTCTACCACTGAACTCTACCCCACTTACTGCCCTCGTATTTTTATTTATTTATTTATTTATGTAATTTTGAGACAGAGTCTCACCCTGTAGCTCCAGTTGGCCTTGAACTTGCTGTGAAGCCCAGGCTAGCCTTGAACTTGCAGTGGTCCTCCTGCTTCAGCCTCCAGAGGGCTGGTATTACAGGTGTGTGCCACCATGCCCAGCAGTTCTGTACATTCAATAGCTGGTTTTTAGCTAAGACAGTGTAGGGTTTTAATATGACTTTCTAAATTACCTTAAATCAAGAATGAGTTAATCCTTCTTTTAGGCTACAAATCAGTATGTGTTATAGTCCTTATCTTTAATTGATGCCCTTTTGACCTTCAGTTAAGTTAGTTGAATTCATTTCTGGAGATGTCTCTCGCTATCTGCCACCTCTTTATTTTCATATATTTTTAAAATTATGAATCATTACCTTTAATTTAAATTAATGTCGTTGTCTGTCATCTTCTTGAATTGCGATCTTCCCAGACAATGGTACTATGATTGTCTCTGTTCCATTGTGCTGGCACAGTGTTCAGTAAATGTATGTTCAGTGTATTGTCTGTGCTGAACCTTAACGGCAGCTTCTTTTGGGAATTTGAGTTGGGAAAAGAACAAAACTAATGGTATCGCAAATAAGTTATATGAACTAGTTTCTTGGCACAGTAACAGTTATTTTAATATTTTGTTACTTGAATAAATGGTTAACAGTGATAGGATACTAAGTGCATTATGCTTTACCTGTTTTTTGTTTGAAAGCAATGAACTAAGAGATTTATAATAAAGCTTTGGGGATATGAGCTAATTTTTTATCATATTTTCTTGGACTTAGGAAATTATAATTAGGATAGAATTTCAAACTCAGTCTTTCTGATGCCCAGATAAATGGTTTTCTAATATCGTATAGTACTGCTTATTAAAGTTTAGTTTTATTGCTTGGACATCGTGATGAGTATAAATAATATTTTTAAGCCTATTATTTAAAATTTAATCAAAATTATTTCACTAGGAGGCAGTGTTTCCACTATTGAATTAAATTTAACCCAGTAACTATAGTGTATTTCTCATTGAGGGGTGGGTGCCTAATGACCAGGTGAGGAGAGATTATTCTTTGTATCATGAGTGATAAATGGAGTATGATGTTCCTGGGCCTATGGATAATATAATAGTTACTTTCAAATTAACTCAGACTATTAGTTGATAGAGTGGTCCTCTGCTCCAAGATTTGGAGAGCTATGTTTATTACATGGTGGTCATGTAACACTGAAAATGGGTTAAAAACCACCTCCTTGATTTTTTTTTTATATTATAAGCAAAACAACAAAATCCTTCACTTTTTCTGTTTCACTTCTATAACTTGATGGCAACTTGTGTTGCAATTAAATTACTGTTGATCAGAATGGTGCATTGGGATGCACAGTATCATAAAGACACAAGCAATGTGTGTTTTTGAACTCTTGTCTTCTGCTATGTGAGGCCTTTGGAAAGCTGGGACAAAATTACAGTGTCAGGTCTGTGGATCTGTTCAGTCTCATAGTGAGAACAGTTGTGCGATCAGTTACAGTGAGTCCCCAGGCGGGAGCTCATTGTCTGGCCTGGGAATGCCACAGCTGTTGATCGGGTATGGTTGGAGGGTGTCACAGCCATGTGCTTTTTGATTGAAGAAAGACTACAGTGTTCTGTCTGCCACCAGAATCTTTCAGTAATGGTTGAATACTGACCTCCTTTCATATTGTTTCATAAACTCTTCTCTTTTGATTATTGAGTTGAGGGATATACTCTTGCTGAACTGAATACAATTCATTTGTGTGGAATATACATTTCTCATATACAGAAATGTATAATCACATTTACTAAAAGCAATTTTTTTATAGACAGTCTTTTCAGCTTTCAAATTTGTTTCTTTGCTTTTTCCTTTCTCATTTGAGCTGTCACCAAATTCATACTGGATTATTATCTTAAAACCTCAATACATTGTTAGACTTATTTTAAAGGCAGAATATTTTAACTAACTTAAACTGTACAATGTTTGACTCTTTCTTGCTTTTGAAAGAAGTTTAAGATGGAGATATACTCAGGTGAACTTTTGTACTGCTGATTGATTAATGTGCTAGTTATAATCACCTCCCTGACCAAAGTCTCTCATTTTCTTCTAACCTAAGTAGTGAAAAGCCTGGGTCCTAACAATGAGGATCTAAACCCATTTATTTTATTCAACTTGATAAATAGCCTATTTTAATGAATTCTTAGAAGTTTAGAGCAGAAAATATAAATAATTAAGGTGCATGAAAAAGCAGAAACTTAACATTTAAGAGTTAATTGTTTAAATAACTGCATTGTTCCTAGTCTTTTTTTAGTGATGTGCCAGCTTTTAACGTTATGTCCATTTTTGCATTTTTCCATTTCAAAACATGGTAGAGTCGTTAATCATTGAAATTGATATCTGAGTTAATAAAATGTTTAAGTTTTAGCATAGTTTTAATTTACATCAGAGATCTTTGCCTTTAGCTGCTTGAAAGGCTCTAGTTATATTAAATATTTATATGTGGATACTGGTGTTTATTGGAATTTTCCATTTCAGTCTATTAAATAATTCTCCTACATAGAATTATATCATTCTAATTTCATTTTAGTTCAATAAAAGATTTTTTTCAAATGATAAAAATTAACTTCTACTTATACAATATCTGCAGTATACTAATTCAGATTTACTGAATTTGAGTTAGAGGATATCAGTATTTGAAGATCTTCTTGGAGACATTGTTTTGACTTTATTAGCATGTATTTCATGACAGTGTGATATATTATTTCATATTTACTTTATACCCTACTTTGTATGTATTTAAGTATTTTGAATCTTGCATTTACTGTAACATAGATTTAATGAAAATAGTGAGCAATTATAGGAATGGAACTATGATCCAGCTAATAAATGTGCCTTGTTTTTGCAGTTGTTGGAGGTAAGGACATTAAAAACATATAGTATATGTTTCACAACAGATGGCATACACAGAATATATATATGAATGTGCAGTTTAATACATATTAACAAACAGTTTTCCACTACCACTCGTCTGCATCCTCATCCCAACCCCAAGTTAAAAGACAGATTAAGCAGACCATAGGGCTGGCTGTGTGGCTCAGTGATAGAATACTTACTGTACAAGGCCGTGGGTCCCATCCCTGGACACACACACAAAGTAGTATTGTTAGTATCATAGAAGCTACCTTGTCCTCTTTAAATACTTGTTTCCTAGGCCAGGCATGGCAATCCACAGCTTGCTCTCAGCTGCGGAGGAGAAGGAGTAAGGGTGTAGCTCAGCGGCAGTGTGCTTGTCTGTGAGGCTGTGGGTTCCAGTGCCCAGTGTGCCAAAAAATAAATGAACAACAACAAAATAAGCCAAAACAGGGCCAAGGATATAGCTCAGTGGCGCAGCACCTGCTGGCAAGTGTGAGGTCCTGGGTTTGATTCCCAGGTATCCTCCGCAGATCATTCCATCGTTTTTCTCATAGTTTTGAGAGCTACTTGTATACCCATAAACAACACAAATTATTTAGTTTTGCAAACTGGGTAACGTACACAGACTTATTACTATTATTGGCTGAGGAATCCTAAATGAAGAGAGGCTGAGAGTCTCCAGAACATAGTCTTGCTTTCTGTTTTAAAGAAGGACAAATCTAGGTCATTTGTAGGAAAATGGATGCACCCTGAGGCCATAATATTAAGTGAAGTAAATAAGACACAAGCTTAAATATTGAAAGGCTTCTCTTATATGAGTCACCCAAAATATAAAGACCAAAATGAAAGATAATTAATAAGAAACAGAGGTAGATCTTTTGCAAATGGGAAGGGACCATGAGATGGAGGGAAAGGAGGAGAAGGAGATGTAAAAAGAATGAAGGTGTGTTATGCACATGTCCCAACTCCCCACGATGAATCTAATCATTATGTGATGCAAATTAAAACCAAACAAATGTGTTCTCAGTGAGGCTTGTTACAGTCAGCACGTCTGACAGGTGCGTGAGGGACCAGATGAGTGAGTGCGCTCTCTGTTTTCTGCGTAAGCTGGGTTTTGTTTTTAGGAGAAGTCTGTTGACTTCATAGTCCTGTATCCTACTATTCTTTAATCATAGTGGTTTTTCATTTTAGTAATTTCTTATGAAACCAGGGATTTTACAATTTTTTATCCTTCAATGCATTAATATGATGCTATATTATTATATTTCCTAATATATTTGTACTCCTAGGGCACGACTAAAAGCCTCTTGGTCACGATGTACTGTTATTTTAGGGTGCTGCTGTGTTTGTTCTGTTGTTGATATTTTTGGACTTTTTCATAAGTGATACTAGTGAATGGATTGTAAACATGTATTATGCTTTATGAAAATAATTTGTAAGTTTACCCTTTTCTATTTATATGCCCTGGAACATATATGTGGTGGTATTTCTCTGTGAAATTGTTAGGGCTTGATGCTTTTTTAAGGAATACTACTTAACAATGTAAACACCCCACTCTCATCCCCCTCGTCAGAAGGTTTTATGTCTCTCCCGTGGTTAATTTAGTAATTGTGCTTTCCTGGAAAGTTGTGTACTTTCACTAAGTTTTCAAAAATCATTACCTGAAAGTTTAAGCAGAATGGTCTGTGTGTGTTAAACTTTCTTCAGTTTGGTCAGTGACTTCTCTTACTTCTTTGGGGTGACACTATGTGTTACCTAGGAGGTTTGCTTATCTCCTACCTAAAGAACCAACTTTTGATTCACTTATTCCCTTCAGTTTTTGTTCCATTAAACTATTTGCTTCTAAGTTAGTTTTTTTTTGTTTGTTTGTTTTTTTTTTTTTTTTGTCTTTTTCCTTTTTATTGGTACCAGGGATCGAACTCACGACTGCCTGCTTGCTAGGGAGGCGCTTATGCCGCTGAGCTAAACCCCCAGCCCCTCTAAGTTAGTTTTGATGTCCCTTCTCTAAATCTTTAAGTTGATTGTTTAATGCATTTGTTTTTATTCTTTCACTCAATTTAAATATTTAAGGCTGTGAATTTTCTTTTGAACAGTGGGAAGTATCTTGGAATCTGATATGATGTGTTTTTATTCTCCGGGAAGACTGCAGCTTTAGTTTCTCTTTGACTTTTTTTTCTTTTGCAACAAAATTATGTCTCATTTGATTTTTTTTTACAGAGAATACAAGCTAGCATTCTCAAAGCATTTAACAACCCCACTACTAAAACTGCTGATGATGAAACTAGAAAGAAAGTCAAAGGTATGTTGACTGTTAAAATATTTTTCTAGTAGAAAATATTCAAAGTTTCTTTCCAGCAGAAAAAGGACTGAGCATTATATAAACTAATTCTCTACAATAGTGGCCTTAAAAGGAGGATATACTTACAAAAGTGACTGTAAGATGTTCTAGTGGGATACAGAAAATGTTAGAATGCATGCATGTGAATTTTTAAAAAATAAAGCTAATATCATCACATAAACAGATTGGTGCTCCTATGTAAGGATTTCCAAGGATGACTTGAAATACTGTTGAAAGTGACTATTTCCCTGAATAAGTTCACATTTATTATGTTGTATCATTTTGGTGCTTTGAGTAAATTTATGTCTTATGTAGTTTTGTGTAGCTGCAGTACTTAAGTGCTCCAAAGACTTTTGCAAATAAGCCAATTGCTGAAAGAATTGATAAGTCAAAGATCTATTGGCTACTCTTCATATTTGCTGTCTTCATCAAGTGAATATGGGGCAAAAATAATGATTATTTAAGGCGTGTACCACCAGGCCTAGTTTTGTCCTCATTTTTAGAAAACATTTAAAAATATGTTTTACCTATTTCTTTTCTAGCCTCTATTTTTATATTTTTATAATTTTCATACTACATGTCTATAATTTATAAACAAAGATACATATATTGTTATTGTGTGCTCCAAAACTCTGTTAAATGCTGAGATTTTGTTTCTGAATTATGTTCTCTAATCTTTGTGTTGGGAGAGTGCCATCTAGTGCATGTTTGGAATACCAGTCCAGGTGCTTTCCATTTCTGTAATCTTTTCCATTTTTCTTAATGAAACATTTTAATTCACTGTAGCATTTCTAAGTAATTAGTTAATAAGTATTTATTAATTTGGGCAAATATAAAGCTTGTGTGTCATTTAGTGCCTCACATACTGCTTCAAATGATTTAAAATGCTATTTATATGAAACTTGAAGGTAGCATTATATGAAACTTGAAGGAAGCCCAAAAAATAGAAGTTGGAAAGGGATGAATATCAGTTAATATACTTTCTCCCTCATGGTTTATTAAGGAAACTTTCAAATTTCTATTAAAGTAGAGATAACAGTAAAATGTAGCCACTTGTATTCATTGCTTAGCTTAAACCCATTTGAAGCTTACTATATTTAGCCATTTTCTCCAACCTCAGATTCTTTAAAATCATATCAAAGGCAGTCTCTTTTGATTTATAAATGCTTCCTAAGAAAAACCATTTTAAATTGTAGAAGTATTACTAAGCATGTTTGTATGTATGGTTAGATGAATTGTTAAATTGCCCACGTTAATTCCTTATACTATGCGGGTGTTTACTTGTCTTCTCAATGAGTTTTCAGAGCCACAGTCCTGGCATCTGCAGTCCTGAAAGCCCAATCGTTTCCCTAATCCTTCTATTTTTTAGGTGCTAGAGCAGGGTCTGAGGGTTTCAGGGGAGAAGCCAAGGTGTGGTGTGAGTGGTGGTTAATTTCTAGTCCACCTCTTAAGTTTAAGAGTGGTTCATTATTTCCTGGAGACTGTGAGAGTTGGTAGTTAATCTCCTCTACACGATTGTAAAGGAGAAAAAGACAGTGTAAGTTTACATTGAGTGTGATACAGGAAATTTGTCTGATTCAGATTCCTTTTGAATAGATAATAGCATTAAACACTGTTGGATGGTTGATTTTTTTTTTTTGGTTAAAAAAGATATGACTTTTACAGCATATGGAAAAGAAGGTGTGAAAATGAACTTCATAGACCGGATCTTTATTGGTGAATTAACTAGCACAGTCATGTGTGAAGAATGTGCAAATGTAGGTATTCTGAAATTCACTTTATGGAACAGACTAAAAGCACATCATTTGATTATGCTTTCTTTTACAAATAATAATGAACAGTTGTTTAAAAATGAATGATGTTTCTAAAAGCCTTTTAAAATATACCCTATGCTCCGAGAAAGACATACTTTTTACTTTTGTCAAGTAAATGTTTAGGTGTGTGATTTCCCACTTGACACACCTATGTAGAGCTTTTGACCTATCTTAATATGCTAAAATATATATATCTGTTTAGACTGAAATGAGAAACTTCCGTGAAGAGAGTAACTGTTACATTGCAATGTCCTAAAACGTAATTCCTTTTTGGTGCTGGGGATTGAACTCATGACCTTGCGCTTGCCAGGCAGGCACTTACACCATTGAACTAAACCCCTGGCCTCTTACATTTATATGACATACTGAAGCTCTGTGTGTGTGTGTGTGTGTGTGTGTGTGTGTGTGTGTACTCATTTTTGAATTTGGAAATAATATTTTTTCTTTTTCTCTCTCTCTCTTTTTTTTTTTTTTTTGTATTGGGAATAGAAATGACAACTTGCATTTGCCAAGCAGGTGCTGTGCTGCTGAGCTATATCCCTGACTTTTATTTTTATTTTATTTCTTTGGTTTATTTTTTGTCTTTTTAAGACAGGGTCTCACTATGCAGTTCAGGCTGGCCTTGAGCTCACTGTGTAGCCCTGGCTGGTCTCAAACTAGCAATGATCCTCTGGCCTTGGCCTCTCAAGTGCTAAGATTACAGGCGTGCACTTTCATGCTCCACTAGTAATTTCCATCTTAAATGACGTTTTTAACAACAATTTATATCATGTATAAATTTTTATAGATTTTGATTTGCTTAGTATGAAATATTTCTTTGATAGGCTTAAACTTTTTTGTCAGACTTTAATGGTAAAAGGAAGTTTTTATGTTCATCTTTTCTGTCCTAGATTATGGAAAACTTTTCTTGCCCTTCTAGGATTATAAACTATTTTTTCTTCTAGCCTATCACACGTAGAATATGTCTACATGGTGGGCATCACTTAAATTTCTAGAATACTCAACATAGAAGTTGATTTTTCTCTAACAAAAATAAAAAATATTTTTAAAAAGTTAGTCTAAAGAATCTATAAAATACTGTATGTATCTCTGCTTTTTAAATATTTTTTGCTTAATGTTTTATACTTTATTTTAACTTAAAATTTTAAGTTGGCAGGAAGTTTGATTTCTTTGATATGTTATAAAACTATACTTTTATATTAGAATTCTAATTGAAGTTTTCACTCTATTTTCTTTTGAAGATCTCCACAGTGAAAGATCCTTTTATTGATATTTCACTTCCTATAATAGAAGAAAGGGTAAGGAAAAAACATAATTATGAGACTTTTATAAAAGTACTTATCCCTTCATTTATTTAGACATTTGTTGACTATATTAGCAGACATCTGGGAGTCTTGTCTTTGTACACATAATTGCATGATATAATGCTTTTTTGTTGTTGTTTTTTGTTTTTATTGGTACCAGGGATCCAACTCAGAACCATGTGCTTGCAAGGCAGGCGCTTATGCCACTGAGCTAAATCCCCAGCCCTGCTAGAATTCTTACTGTCTAGGATTTAAATTCCTATGCTTTGTATTTTGAGAGTTAATCTTAAAAAATTACCTTTCTGCATTTCAAGTGAGTTAGGAATTTTAAAAAGATGATGATATCTAGGATTTATTTGTTAACAGAATTTGCTGTCCAAATAGGTTTCAAAACCTGTATTTCTGGGAAAAGTGAATAAACATAGAAGCTTGCAGGAGGCAGACCATGGTCAGTGCAGTGGTGCTGATGCTGTAGAAAATGCTCAGTCTAAAGCTGCCAACAAGCAGCCTTCCTCTGAGGATAAGGTAAGTGTATGAGCATTTATTTGTTAGACATCTGGTTTTAACACTTTTTACTAAGAAAAATTTCAAGTATATAAAAACAGTAAAGAAGGTTGTATAATTAAACCCAGTGCACCCATTTCTCAGCTTCATAATTATTATCTCGTCGCTAATCAGACTTTCTGGTATCTACCCATGTTATTCTCTTCTCCCACCCCAGACTATTTAGAAAAAAATAGCAAACATCCACTTCAAGGTGTATTTCTGAAAGATATTGTGTAGGAGTTGGGAATTCATTCTCTAGTGCATGCCTAGTACCCTCAAGGTTCTGAGCTTGATAACCAGCACTGAAAAAAGAAAAAAATGCACAAGATATTCCTTATAAAAATGTAACCATGGTACTATCATTATAAATAAAAATATCAGTAACTTCTTAGTAACACTAAGTATTTAATCATTATTTAAATCTCTATAATTGTTTCATACTGTTTTTGTTTTTTAAAGTTTGAGTTTGGTATTTTAACAGGATCTTGAATTGTAATTGATTGTCATGTTTCTTTAATTTCTTTAATCTCAGTTTCTTTTTTGGCAATTTATTTGCTGATTTTTTTAAAAACACTTTTCTCATTCTCAGTGATATTTCATTTTCTGTTGCCTTCTCATACAGATTTTTCTGTGTCCTTCATTTCTTCTCTAAGGCATTTAGGTCTGGAAGCAAATAAGGTTTGATTGTTTATTTCATTTATTTGTTTGTTTACTTTCTGTTTTTTGAGGCAGGGTCATATAGTGCAGTTCAGCTGGCCTTGAATTCACTATGTAGCTCAGGGTGGCCTCAAACTTGTGGCAGTCCTCCTGCTTCAGCCTCCCAAGTGCTGGTATTACAGGCATGTGTCCCCATGCCTGGCTGTTCAATTTTTGACAAGGAAACTTTAAAGTGGTTGAATATACTACTATAAGTAGGTATACAAAATGTTTGATGGATTTGAGGATTGGGAATGTAACTCAGTGGTAGTGTATGTGTTTTTCAGGTTCTGGATCTTATACCCAGCACCATATAAAAATTAAAAACTATAAATTTAAGAAGATTGGAGGAATTGAGGTTAGCTACTTGGGAGACTGAGACAAAAGGATCACTTGAGCCCAAGAATTTGAGACTAGTCTAGGCAACATAGTTGAGATCCTGTCTCTTAAAAAATGTATATTCAAAGAGATTTTACTGGTTTCATCATTTTTCCACTGCTTTCAGTATTATGCAGAAGTATTTGAAAAATGGCGATTTGTCCAATGTAATTATTTTAAGGGATTAAAAGAAACAGAATCTTGGAGTTTGTAGTTTCCAACTCTGGATAAAATAGTTGCAAGGAAATTTTCATTTATCACATAGTCTTTGCTTATAATTTACCCCTCAGAAATTTAAGAATACTCAAGAAAGAGGAAAGATGTATTTCTTTGAATGTTTTTGTCAGTTTTTTATTTTCAAGATTTAAAGTAGACTATGTTTTTGCTACTTAAGGTGTAATGGTGTACGTAATGAAAATAGTTCTTTATATCTTTTAGACTCAGTAAAGAGGTAAAGGTACTGATATGATAGAAAATCCTTGAAATTTTTACCTCTTTTTGCTAATTTACATTACAGTTACCTCATGAAAACCTCACGAAGTTCAGTATGAGGAGTAATAAAGAGGCACTGGATTAAAAATATAAAGATGTGAACGAAGAAAATAATATTATATGGAGAGAGCAGTAGCTGATGGGAAGGTGTAGGATCTACACTGAGTGTGTAAAAAAGGAGGTGAATAAAAGAGTTGTCCCGGAAAAGTGTGTGAAGCAAAAAAGCATTACCAAAATTGTCCGGAAGAGTCTGAGGGAGCCGTGTGGGCTTCTGCCTGGTCGCTAGTGTCCAGCGCCTGTCCATCTCAGCCCCCGGGTCCACAAGGCAGTCAGGGCAGGATTTCTGAGCCGTGGCACTAGTCACGCAGTCTCCTCAGATAAGTCTATGATCCACAAAACGGATGCATCAAGAGCTGATTTGCCAGTTTGCTCCTCACATTTGTATTACTCCATTCGCAAGCTAGATTTCCTGAACTTCTGTTAATTCTCTTCCCTGGGACCCTGTGAACTTGCTGTGCTCCCTGCCAGGAACAATCCTGTTCTTCTCTGACCCACTCAATTCTGATTAGTTCTTCCTTTGGTTTCTATGGCATCTGTAGTTTTCTTGTTATAACAATAGGAGCTAGAGGTGGTGGCAGATCCCCTGTAATCCCAGCACTTAGAAAGCTGAGGCAGGAGGATTGCCATAGTCTGGGCTAAATAATGAGTTCAATGTCAGTCTGAACTATACAGCAAGACCCTGTCTCAAAAAAGCAAAAATAAATAACAAGAATTGAGATGGCATGGTGGCACCATGTAATTCCAGCACTCAGGAGGCTGAGGTACAAGAATTGCTGCAATTTCAAGGTCAACCTGGGCTACACATTCAGCTCAAGGCCAACTTCAATGAATAGAGAGATCCTGTCTCAAAAAACAAAATGACGACTACAGAAAGAAAAATAATATGTAGCCAGTGTTTTGAGTTCTTTTTTTTTTGGTCTCTTTTGAGGCGAGGTCTTGCTATGCAGTCCAGGCTGGCCTTGAGCTCACTTTGTAGCCCAAGCTGGTCTTGAACTTGCAACGATCCTCCCATCTCAGCCTTCCCGAGTGCTGGGATTACAGGCGTGAGCACCACGCCCGGCGTGTCTTTTGAGTTAAGTATGGTGTGATCATTATTTTTGATCTTTATATCAGTTAGTTCTATTGAATCAAGAGATGAACATGGCGTATGCTCATGCAGGTCCCAGCAGCAGGGCAGCAGGCACGGGAATGTAAAAGGCCTGCACAAGGCACACGGTAGCAGGTTTGCCTCCCACTGACACTCGCTGTTTACCATACTTGCTTCTCTGGGTAGGTTGTAAACTCTAAGGACAGAAATGGACTCTGTCTTCCTCGCTGCCATGTCTCAGGTCCTTCGTGCCATGCCTGTACCCGGACAGTGCCTAGGGAGACCAGGGTGAGCTCTCTCATGACGTGCTCAATAGTCACCACTGATAGCACCCCGTTGCTCCCCAGGATGGGCTGTACTGTGGGTACTGCTGTGCATTTCGTCTCGCTGACTCACACGACAGCCACTGCAGGTGGTGTCTGTCCTGTGGATGAGGAGATTGGAATGTGAGATACCAGGTATATCTCCAGCATCACTGACGACAAGCAGCAGAGTCTGAACGTGAGCCTGGACAAGCAGTTCCAGAATCACGCTCTTCTGTGTTACCTCTGAAAACAGCTTCCTGCATGCAGTCTCAGTTATCTTTCAGGATAATCTTACTAATCTTTCGTCCTAATTTGTATTATAAGTTTAAAATCACATATAGGCTTTGTCCACCAAACAAAACAAGAATAAGAGTGGGCATTTTACTGTTTCACTTTAGGAGGGTAAAAGGATGGATAGAATGATCTTGATCAAAAGTTCCTAAAACTGGCTGCTCATCAGAATTAATTACCTGTTTGTCAAGGCAAATTCTCAAGCCGGACCTCAGACCTCTTTACTCAGCATTTCTTTCTTTTCTTTTGCACCTTTTCTTTTTTCCTTATTCAGCATTTCCAAGTGGTGATGCCGTAGGTGTGAGTTTTTACCGATACAAAGGAAAAAATAAAATAAAAAAAAAATAAAAACAGCAGTAAATCTTTTGAGGTGATTCTGATAATCACCTGAGTTTAGAAGCTACTGAATTAGAAATTAAACAAATTAGATTCTGAGCAATATTTTTGTTAGCTCAAGATCTTGGACAAGTTATAGAAAATCTATTAGGGTCTGTATATACCTAGTGACCAGTAGTATTACTATTGAAGAAGAAAGTTTAATTTTCAAAACCACTACATAAATTGAACATAGCAGAACTTGCTGGATGTTACAGTAGACTTCGTTATTTATTATGTGCCTATGATAGACTAAGTACTCATGGTAAAAATAAATGCCTTATTTTAATTCAGAGAGTTTAGAATACTTAATAAATGTGAGAACTAATTTATTTTCCTGACTCTGAAGCTGACAAAGTTGAGGCACAGACATTTTGTAACTAATTCTTCGTTTCCTCCTGAATCACTAAAAGTGAGTAATCTACGTGTGGTCCATGACAGTCTTTACCATCTTTGTCTTTACCCTTAGGTTAACCCCTTCAGGAAAAGAACACTATAATGTGAACTTTCAGCTATGTGAAGCCTGTAATGAAACTTTCCTGGTAGCATAAAAATCTTGGGCTAAATCATAGTACGAGTTTTTGGGTTTTTTTTTTACCCCTCTCCAAACCTGCATATTTGCACTGTCCCAAGAAACAAGGTTGACACAACTTAGTAATGGTAGCAACAATTAAAATAGACACAAATCAAACGCAACAATTAAAATAGATACAAATCAAAGGTTCTGGTTCAGAGCTATGGCAACCAGGGGACACTGTCATAATAGCCTGGGCAACTTAGACCTGTCTCAATAACAAAATTCCCCCAAAAACAGGGTTAGGGATATAGGTCAGTGTGAATGCCCTGTTCAGCCGCTGCACAAACAAAACAAAACAAAACAAAACAAGAAAGGTGTATTGGAAAGTCTCCTCCAGGCAAGCATGGCAGCATACGGGTAGCTCAGGAGGCTGAGGCAGGAGAATGCCTAAAGTACATAGTGAGGCTGTTAAGAGAAAGTCTCCTCATAGCTCGCGTATAAAAAGCCTAGTCCTGCAAACCCGTAACCGCTATTGCTTCTCATGTAAAGCTTTGCTTTTGAGTTAGAAGTACATGTTTGTGTGTCTTCTCTTTGTTGGTCTTAGTCCGGTAGAATTAGGAAATGGACCTCAGAAAAGCAGCACAGTGTTTAATGATTGTGTGACTGTTAAATGGGACTCAGTGACAAAACTTATTTCCAATAAGGCCACAAGGTTCTCTTCTCTGAAAACACTGTCAACTTACAGAGCCACGACAGAGGACCGGGGAGAAGGCTGTCGTCCGGAGAGGAGACGGGCCTCCATCGGAGGGGCGCCAGCCCACGGCGGGGCGCCAGGCCCCCCGAGAACGAGAGCCCCAGTGACGGCAGCGGGCCGGCGGCCTGCGCGCCCGAGAGCAGCAGCGCGGACGCGGACAGCGAGGCCTCGGAGTGGGAGGGCTGCGCCCCGCCGCGGCGCCCTGCGGGGGCCCGAGCCGCGGAGCCGGAGCCGGGGCCGGAGCCGGGGCCGGGGCCGGGCAGCAGCGACGAGGGCGCGGCCGGCCTCTCCGGGCTGTGTCTGAGCAGCGCCCCCGCTGGAGCCGCGGGGTCTGACGCGGAGAGCCCGGCGCCGAGGGCTCCGGGGGCTTTTCCCGGGGAGCCGGGGCGCAGGGCCCGGAGCCCCCAGGCTGCTTTCCAGACCCTGTCCCAGAGCTACGCGGCGGCGTCCAGGGAGTGCTCGGTGCAGTCCTGCCTGCACCAGTTCACAGCCGTGGAGCTGCTGATGGGCAACAACAGGCTGCTGTGCGAGAACTGCACCGGGAGGGAGCGGCGGCAGCGCCCCCAGGCCGGCTCTGCAGGTAGGCGCGCTTGGCGCCTTGCTGTGTGTGGTGGCGGGCTGCGTGGGCCCTTCCTTCTTCCCGGGCCTGGCCTTCTTGGCACGGAACTGTCTTATCCTTGGTTGACCTTATCACTTACCACACGGGCAAGCAGATTTCTGATCACTTTTCAGTTGATTTTTGTTGAAATAAATTGAAGAGCAAAAAATGTACACCGCTGCTTTGAAAATGCAAGTCCACTTAATTTTGTATGAGGGAACTAGCTATGGAAAATCTTGCTGAAGTGTCTCAAAACTTTTTATTGTATCTTCAGGGAGACTAATGTCTTTCCTAAGTCTTATCAATCTGTAGCTTAAGATACAAGTTGGAAGATTTTAATTATTTGTATGTTATGCAAAGTAGCACAGCAGTTAATTTGTAATCACGGAACATTTATATAGGACTTACTGACATTTATTTTTAATAAAGCCACAAGATTCTTGAAAAAGATTCTTTGAAAAAACTGTCAACTTACAGCATCATGAAGTTGTGATATGGAGAAAACTGTTCTCTGACCACAGAAAAACGGGAAAGGAAGGGTTGTTAAGTAAGAAAGTTTTAGTGCACCTCTAGGCTTAAATAGAAAAAGTACTGTTATTAATTGTTTTAAAGTATAGGTATTATTCTTATTCAGGTACAACAAGGCCAAGAGACCAGGAAGGGATTGCAATTGAAAAAACTGTTACGATTCCCAAGAAGTAGGAGCATGCCATGCTATCCAGGGCCACCTGGGGAAGACCAGGATGAGGCAGGAAGAGAGCATAGTTTCTGGGGGAAGGCTTGGTGAGGCAAGGTAAAGGAGACTGTATCGACTGCCTGAATAATCTTCGTGGACTCGAGTTTAGGGGCTATTTGTAATTAACTGGTACTTGACTCTGGGGTGATCAGGGGGGTCCAGTGTGGTCCAGAGTGTAACAGCCCAATAAAGGCGGCAGATGGGGTATGGACTCTGGGCTATCAGTCTGCATATGAAATGTGCACATTAATTGTTTACCGTGTCTATGAATTAGCCCTGGGTAAAGCTGTCCTCCAATGTCAACCAGGCTGTAGCTGTTAAAGCATCAGAATAAAGACATTCTTCTTACACTAGTAACTAAAGAAAAAAAAATAGCAATTTATGTGCATTAATACGACTTAAGTTTGTAGTTGTCCATATTAAAATCCTGCCATAAATCCTTTTTAACAACCTTTTATTGAAATGTCCTGTGATTCCCCATGTTGTGAATTCTCCCTTTGCTGCAGAGTTGTTAGACTAAACTTACTATAGCTGTGCTTCTGGTGCTGTTAGATTGGAGGGCACTGGTGTAAGTTAACTGTAGTACATCTGCTTTCCAGGGCCCAAAGCTTTTTGGCAGGTATTGTCTCTTCTATTCTCTCTCATTATTTTGTGTACTTCAAAAATGCTGTATGGGGGCTGGGGATTTAGCTCAGCGGCATAAGAACCTGCCTTGCAAGCAGGAAGTCATGAGTTCGATCCCCCGTACCGATAAGATAAAAAAAAATGCCCTATGAAACTTTGATTTTAGTAGTCTTTTTTTGTGTGTGTTTTTCCTTTTTATCGGTACCGGGGATCAAACTCACAACTGCCTGCTTGCAAGGCGGGCGCTTATGCTGCTGAGCTAAATCCCCAGCCCCGATTTTAGCAGTCTTTTGGAAGGAAATAGACACCTTGTAATTGGAAGTCCAGTTTCTTTAACCTTTTAAAAATGTAATAGGATGCTTCTTTATAAACACTGTATTACATTGTAGGTAATGTATAAAAAGACTTTTACATACTTACTGTGTTTTATGCAGAAAAGAAAGAGGGAGTTTACACTACCGCCAGGAAGCAGTTGCTCATTTCTGCCGTTCCAGCTATCCTAATTCTCCACCTTAAAAGATTCCATCAGGTAAAAATTCCTAGGGTGGCATTATAGTGACTTCCAGTGTGTGTGTTTGTGGAGCTATAAGTCCTGTGGAACACTGTCAAGGATGAGAGAGTAATTTGTTGAATTTAAAAATTTGTCATGTGGGATTGTCTGCTGTTTGAGCCTTAATAGTTTTGCAGGGCTTTTCTAATTAAAATTGTTTAGTTCATAGTATTTGACGATTTTGGCAGTATAAACCTAGGTATATCTCTAAGTGGCCGATGTCTGTGTGTGTTAACGGAAAATGCATTTTATTATGGGCACTTAAAAGCAGCCACGGAGTAAAGCACGTAGGGAAGCTGGGCGCAGTGCTGCATACCGGTAATCCCAGCACTCCAGAGGCTGAGGCAGGACAGTCACTAGTGCTGGGACACATAGTTTAAGGCCAGACTGGATGAGACCCTGTCTTTAAAATAAAAAAAGAGAAAGTGAAGGACTCCGAGCTTTCTGAGCTGTCACTCCTGACCTCACCGGAAGGGTGCCTGAAGGACAGCTAAACACAGGACGCTCTAAGGAAGCCTGCATCTGTCCACAGGGCTACGTATTGGACGGCAGCCTGAATGGTTTTAATGTGTCAAGTTCTTTCCACTTATTTGTACTTTTAATCCATTCCCTTTTTTCAGTGTGACTTATTTGTATTTTTAAATTTCTGGAAGAATAAATAGCTGAAATACTGTAAAGAAGCTAAGAGTCTTTTTTATATTTGTTTTTAAAAAAAACTGTAGTAATGGAATGAATTTGATTAGACTTCCAGTAAATAAAACATGAGTACAGTTTAAAGTCACTATGTTAAGATAAAGGAGTTGCTAAATGAGTTGGAAATGGTGCTGGATTTATTCAGTAAACATAGTTATTGCCTTTCCCTTGCTGGGACAAAACAGTTGATAGGTGCACCCCAGAGAAGGAGAGGTCAGCAGGGCTCAGTGTTCAGTGGAGGGGGCCGTGCTGACATGACAGGCTCCGTGGTGGAACAAGCAGAGGAGGCGGCTCACCTCAGGGCGACTGGCAGGCAGAGCCCGGAGAGCTGGGAAGAGCCCCGGAGGGAGGGTCAGGGCCGGACAGCCTCCACAGTCACACTCCTGGCCACCCAGAGGCACAGGCACCGTGCTTTCCTACTTCTAGGTGTTTCTCCGGCCAGTCAGATTGACGATCAAGATTAACTATTAGAAGTAAAAATAGAGCTGTACTTTTTACTCCTTTTAAACTGTGAAATGCTGACTGGGGAAGACCTATTACCATGAAATAATATGGGGCTCGATGCCTACGGAGATCACCTGATGAGAAAGAAGGCAGAGAAATTGAGTACAGGCCTTGTAATTATTCCTGGAGTATGACTTCATAATTTCATTTTCAGGATCATGTTAAACCTAGTGATCACTTGAAAAAAACAAATCACCAAGTGAGTATATTTTGACCCCCAAATTAAGTTTTTTTCTTTGAAGGAAGAAACAAAAAGATGACAGGAGCTAGGCTTCATTGTGCACATCTTTAATCCCAGTCCCCACAGAGCTGAGGCAGGAGAATTGCAGCAAGTTCAAGGCCAACCTGGACTACATAATGAGTTTAAGGGGAGCCTGGATTACATAGCAAGACCCTGTCTCAAAAAACCAGAAAAAAAAGAAGGTGGCATATCCACAGTGAAATTAATACAGAGACCAAAGAATGAAGTCATGAAAGCCCTGTATGAAAAGTTGCATGTGTTAATTTTTGTCTATACAATAATTCAGATAATTCAGTGCCTTTTCAGAATGACAGCTCATTGATAATTATAGGTTGCCTACCCAGTACCTTTAATACCCTGCCAGCTAGTTTTTATTACAATTACATAATACAAAGCAAATTTGCCTTTGAAAATGGAAAAAAAGAGAAAGAGAAGTATAGCTTACTCAACAACATGAAAGGGGTTGGCGGAGTGGTGCACACCCTTAAATCCTACTATTTTGAAGGCTCAGGCAGGCAGATCTCAAGTTTCAGGCCAATTTGGGCAACTTAGTGAGAACTTGTCTCAAAATACAGTGAAATGGAAAGGGCAGGGCTGTAGCTCAGCCGGGGAGCACTTGCCTAGCACGCACAAGGTCCAGGCTTCGATTCCTCGCACCACTGCAAACAAAAGCCCCATGAAGGTTCATTGTGATTTATACAATGTATAGCATTCACCTTCATTGATAAAGCATTCAGGTTGTTTTTCTTTTTAATGAATTTTAGAAACAAAAAGGATTTATAATCCATTTGCACTTTTTCCATAACTAGAATTGAACCCAGGGTCTGTACTGAGCTACATGCCCAGATCTTTATAAAATGTTTTGTTATGAAATAGGGTATTGCTAGGGGCTAGGGATTTAGCTCAGTGGCATAAGCACCTGCCTTGCAAGCAGGCGGTTGTGAGTTTGATCTCTGGTACCGATAAAAAAAAAAAAAAAAAAAAAAAAGAAATAGGGTATTGCTAAGTTCCTGAATTGTTTGGGCTGGGCTTGAACTTGTGTGCTCCTTCCTCAGACTCCCAGAGTGCTGAAATTATAGGTATGCACCACTGAGCCATTTGTACCTGCATTTTGCCTTGACCTAGGTGAGCTGCTTTTAGTCAAGCATACCGTTAACAGGTCATTGCGGTAAGTCTAGAACACCAAGGTCTTGGCTATGTGGTTGGGTACATTTCATGATAGCATATGTGTTAGTTTTTAACACACTGAATTTAGTTTTCATTGGCATTGAGAAGCCACAATGGAAGTTCCCTATTATTCATGGTTTTTACCCTTGTAAATGAATAATCTTTGCAGTAATAGTTTATGAAACCTAATTTTTAGCTTAGTCATATCAGTGTGAACTATTTATTACTTATATTTATTTATATCTGTGAAAAAATTCCCAGAATTTCTCTTTTGATTTTAACACAGTGCTTTAGGTCTAATTAAGTCTATTGCATTAATAAACTGTTTCTGTTTTGTTTTGTTTTTGTCTTTTTAAGGCTGGCATGAGTCTTCGTAAAGTAAACAGACATGTAGATTTTCCACTTATGCTTGATTTAGCACCATTCTGTTCTGCTACCTGTAAGGTACTGTACATTGGGGAATTTAATTGACTTGGCAAATAATGAACTAATTAATAAGCTTAAAAGTATCCTACGCACTGATTGTTAGGCTTTGCTTTGTTTCATTGTTTTTAAAATAAACTCTAAATTTAAATAGTGAAGTGAAATCAGTAATGTATGGCACATTTAATAGCATTGGATGTGATTTTTGGGAAGAGGATAAGGTCTAGTGATTATGAAGATCAAAGTTGCTTGTAAATGCAATCAGAAGCTTCTGGTTGCTGAGAGATGTGAACCGGTTTTGTGCTCTCTTCTTCCTTGTAAATGACCTGCTTGATCAGTAGTCAGTTCAGCATTTTTGGAATTCTGTATCTTTGCAAATCAGCCAGACAGGTTGTTTTCCAAGCTATTTCATGTGTACTGCAAGTAGTGTGCCTGTCACGTGAGTATGATACTCCAAAACTAGGGATCCTGGAATACCTCGTTTACTAACTAGTATAGTAAGTAGATTGGTTTATAATTGCTTAGACTTATATGTAAGAATTGTGATGATAAAATTGATGAATCTTTCTTGAGGGCACCACTTCCAGGTTAACCTCAGGTCCTGATCATGAATATTGTCAAGGTCCAGGTTTTATGGTAAATGCCAGAATGCTTGTTGAACTTAACATTTTTAGTATGCTGGCTAACCAAAACAAAACAAAAAAAATCTTAAGTGCAGATTTCTGATGAATCTAACTTATCAGCTGTGGAAAAACAGCACTACCTGTCAAGTATTTACACTTAGTATTCCTAGAATTAAATAATATGTTAAAAATAATAATGAAATTCAGTAAGTTGTGTTAAATTTAGAGGAACATTATATTTTTAAAAGTATCTATTACTGGCTGGGGGTTTAGCTCAGTGGCGTAAGTACCTGTCTGGCAATGCCCGGTCATGAGTTCAATCCCCGGCACTCCCTCCCAAAAATAAATTAGTTAAAGCAAATTTTTTTAAAAAGTATCTATTATGGAGAATTTCTGTTGTACACAAATTAGACAGAACATGGCCAGGTGTGGTAGTACAAGCCTGTAATCCTAACACGCAGGAGGTTAAGGGGAAGAATCGCTGTAAGTTTGAGGCCAGCCTGGGCTACATAGTGAGTTAAAGACCCAGCCTTAACTGTATAGAGAAACCCTGTCTCAGTCCCCTCCCCAAATATATTAGACAGAACAATATAGTGAACCTCCAGTACCCACCCCTACAGCCTCAGATGTATAGCTAGTCCTGCCCCATCAGTGTATCCTCATTTTCCTATTATTTGCAGTAAATGTCAGGCACCATTTCATCCATAAATATTACCTGCATGTTAAGAAACACTTCCTATGCTTTTTTTTTTTGTACTGGGGATCAAACTCATGACCACGCACTTGCAAGGCAGGCACTTATGCCACTGAGCTAAATCCCCAGCCCTATCCTTTTTAAAAACATAACCACTATATCACTTAATGTAATTCCTTCATGTCAGCTAGATTTAATTATTTCACAAATGTGATTTTATTTTATTTATTTTTGGTACAGGGATTGAACTTGACCTTGCACTTGCCAGGCAGGCACTTAAGCCATTGAGCTAAATCCCCAGCACAAATATGATTTTAAAATGAGTTAATATCCCAATAAGGACCATGTGGTATGATTAGATGATATCACTTATAACTCTTTTAATGTGGTTTCTCTTCTCCTGCCTCTCTCCCCTCACTTGCCATTTATTTGTTGAAGAAACTGGGTTATTTTTCTTGTATCACTTATTATTTAGGTTTTGGTGATTGTTCCTCTGTCTTCTTTATATTGTACAAATAGGTAATCAGACCTAGAGAAACTTGAGTAGATTCAGGTTTTGTTCACCTCCCGCCTTTCTGGTAAAGCTGCTTCATAGGAAGTGTTCTGTACTAAAACTCTGAGGGGATTGCACCTCGATGTATTTTGTGTAACATTTGCAACCAGTGGTGCTCAGCGCTACATCCACATGTTCACTAAGAGTTACAGAATGATGCCCTGGAGTGGTATTTTGTCTCCATCCTTATTCCTTTTAGGTAGTTTTGTTTTGTTGTTTTTGAGACAGAGTCTCACTGTGGAATACAGTTTAGCACAGAACTCACTGTAGAGCCCAGGCTGGCCTTGAGCTTGCAGTGATCCTCCTGCTGCAGCCTCTCAAGTGCATCCTCTTAGTTTTTTTATGTATAGTCCTTATAGAAAAGGAGTGATAAATGCTTGACTTTTTCTAAACCAATTTTCAAAATACTTCCCTAAATGTCATCACACTATGATTGATTTATCATCACAAATTTCAGGATTAAATACGTTTTAATACATTACATTATTCTTTTTGTTTATGCTCTATTAACTGATTTGTCCATGTTTGATCGCTGAATGCCATTTCAAGTTGGCTCCTTAGTCATTCTGACATAACCTCACTAGATCCCATCACCAGATGGGTATATTGTTCTCTTTGTTCTGTTTTGTTTTGGTTTTGTTTTGGTTGAGATAGGGTCTTGCTGTGTAGTTTAGGCTAGCTTTAAGCTTACTACATAGCCCAGGCTGGCCTTGAGCTTGTTGCAGTCCTCCGGTATCAGACTCCCAAGTGCTGGTATTATATATACCATGCTCAGCTAATTCTTCATTTGTGTACTTTACATATTTTCCCATTTGGTGATTGCTTTTCAAAGTTTAACTTTAATAGTTACATAAAATGTTTATACAATTACAAAGCCATATGTTTCAAATGGACTATAAAAAGTAAATTCAAAGAAGTTTTGTTTTTCTCCCAAGTATTTTGTTTCCTCTCTGCTTTATAAACATTTTAAAACTATGTTTTACTCTTTTTGTTTTACAAGGTAAGCAGATAGCTATGTATATTTGCATCTCCTTTCTTCAGTAATGGTAGCTTACCCTGTACATCCCTGGTCTCTGTCTTATTTTTATTCTGTCTTATAAGCTGGGTATGATTTCATAGAAGTATAGTCTGCGTTCCACTTTTGCCTCTCTCTGTCCGTCCTTCCTGCTGCAACATATGTGGCCCTTGAGTTTCCTTGGGTGAAGGATGGCAAGAGGATGAGAAAATAAACAAGAGACAAAGCTGGGCCAGGTGGAGCCCTTACTCTCTGGATGGGGGGGGCAGGAGCTGGCCCTGCACTGCAGGGCATTTATTTATACTTTCTAGCAACTTAATGTCACATGACACCCTGTTGTCCTAGCAACCCACTGTTTGGATTGTCTTGGGACAGGGTGTTCTTTGGGCTGAAGCAACTTCGGCAGTCGTCAGTCAGTCACGTGGCTTTCCCTTGCACTCTTTGTTCTTGGGAGGGTCACGCCCCAGCCTTGCATGTGTGGTCAGGCTCTAGCTTCAGCAGCTCCCAATACCCTCCGTCCATTTTTAAAGCAACATAATACCCCGTTGGGTGGAAGCATTACAGTTTATTTAATCAGCCCTTAATTTATAGTAGACTATAATTTGGAGACTGTTGTAGTCTTTTCATATTATAGTAATCCTGTTAATAGTCTGGTGCATTTTTTAAAAGTTTTTCTTAGAATCCTATAAATAGGATTGATGAATCCAACAATGTATAGGTAACCTAGCTAGTACAAAATATCACTGCAAATGGCTAGTATGCTTTAGCGTTCTTACAAGGAGTCTCAGTAAGTACCCTTTTTTCCTCACAGACCAGGCAGCAGTCTCATCAAGCCTAATAGGTGCATAAAAAGTATCTCAGTGCAATTTAATAATGCATTTCTCTATTTTAAGCAGGATATATGCTTACTTGCTTTTTCTTACAATTGTATTTTACTAAATGTTACTAATTTTGTTTTTTTTTCTTTTCTTAAAAGAATGTAAATATGGGAGATAAAGTTCTCTATGATCTCTATGGCATAGTGGAACACAGTGGCTCAATGAGAGGAGGTCATTACACTGCGTACGTGAAAGTGAGACTGCCCTCCAGGAAACTCTTGGAACACATCACTGGAAAGAAAAGCATAACTGGTATGCCATCCCACGTATTCTTTATGATTCTCTAAGTACACTTTATTCTTGAAAATAAATGAATTTATTCTCCTTTGTTGGGAAGAAATAGGTTATTACTTCACAGATTCCTCACTTGGGTTCACTTTATTAATGTTAAGTGAGAATGACCTTGAAGAACTCTTAGTCTTAGGGATCTTAATTATTACAAGAATGTACCCTTTTAGGTGACCTGAAGTGACACATGTCTTTTCAAGATATTGATGCATTGTGTACTGTAGTGCAGTAGTATTTAATAATAACCAACATTTTTTAAAGACATGAGGTCCTCTAAATTGAGTTGAAAATCTGCTGACTGTGCTTATAGATGGTCAAAGTAATTTTGCTCCTTACCTGCCTTTTCGTGAATTTTTCTTTTCTCTGAGCAAGTTATTGTTTACAAAGCTAATTTTTCATTAGATATTTAAATTAAAATGTTACTGAGAATAATTATTAATTACACTATTAGTCCCTTGAAAGTATTAGTTCATTTTGAAAAATATTTAATCCAAGAAAATTCATAAACAAGATCTATCACTAGAAAAACATCATCTGTAATGATTATGTTGCTGTTTATACTTTCGCTAACATAAACATATTTATTATAAAATACTCCTCCTTTTTATTTTTTTAGGTTTGAAAGAACTTGATAGTGAATCAGGAGGCCAGTGGGTCCATGTTAGTGACACTTACGTGCAAGTGGTTCCAGAATCAAGAGCGCTTTGTGCACAAGCTTACCTTCTTTTTTATGAAAGAATATTATAATCATTTGTTAATTGTTAGTTAGCTTATTTTTATTTGAATGCTGCAATGATAACCATAACAGGTAACGTGCCTTTGTAATCTTAGTCCCTCTTCTGTAGGAAGAGCATATTTCTCAAAAAATGCCCTCTCTTTTTTTAATTTGGAGAATGCTTTTAAAGTTAGTAAAATTTACTGAATACTTTCAGATTAACATCTTAAACATAAAGACTTCGTTTTTCAAAAATTTCTGCTGGGGACAAATTTACAGTAATAGAATAAACACCTTTATGGCTATGGTTCATCATTATAAGCATTCAGAAATGATCCTGGCTAAATAAAATTATTCCTTAATGCAATATTTCTGAAAGGTGATATCACCTTCCTGATCGCATATAATATATCCTGTGCCATTATTTACTTATTTTTTTAAACATTTTAGCTTTTCATGACTTAACCATGTTATAAACAAATACATTTCACATTTTATATGCCTGTTATTTTTCATAATAAATATTAAATTTATAACTGTTAAAGAGAAAATACTCATCCATATACCATTCTATTTAAAAATCATTTCATGGGACCAGGGATTTAGCTCAGTGGCATAAGCACTTGCCTTGTAAGTACACAGTTGTGAGTTTGATCCCTGGTACCAAAAAAAAAAAAAAAAAAAAAAAAAATCATCTCAGGGATATCCTGTAGTAAATGTGTATTACTACTTGGGAAACATTGCTATACCTAAGTGAAATAATGCTAGTTACCATGTCATATTTTGTATAATTCAAGCATATAAACAGTGTCATTGTAATTTCAGTATTGTGGGGTTTACAAGTAATTATTGCATAGCTTATTACTTTCAGGTTTTGAAAATATTGAAACATTTTATAAACATAACTTCTGCAGCCTATTCATGGAAGTTAGATGATATATTAAGTGGTTGGCCAAGATCAAAATACAATTACAGATAATTGTAACATACAGAATTGGTAAACAGAAATTGATAATCTACGTGGCACCATAGGATATCTTTAAAATATAAGTTACCAAATTATATTTGTAAATGATATAGAATTATATTCTTATACTTACAGAAAAATAAAGTACATTTTCTACTTCTGTATTTCAGTATATATTAAACATTGTTTTAGGGTATAGAGATCATTTGTGTATGTGTCTTAAGCATCATTGAAAATTTCAAGAGAATTTAGCTCTTACTTTACTGGAGCACAGAGTAGGCATTTCTGTTTAAAATAACAGCAAAAATGTGGTAGTTCCCCTTTTTTAGAATACAAATTATTAAACTGACAAAAGTTAGTTTGAGCCGGGTATGGTGGCTCATGCCTATAATCCCAGCACCCGGGAGGCTGAGTCAGGAGGATCGTTGAGAGTTCGAGATTAGCCTGAGCTACAAAGTGATCTCAAAGCCAGCCTGAACTGCATAGCGAGACCCTGTCTCAAAAAGACAAAAATAAAAAAGGCTTGAAATATACTATTGCTTAGGCTTGCATTTCAAAAAATCATGGGTACTTCAGGATCATATTATTGAATCAAAACATAACTGCATGGTTCAAGCATCTTAATCATTATTGCCAATGGATTATACTACAGGCAAGGATTGGACAATTTCCTAGGAAGGGAAGAAGGAATGTATATACTGTGTGGAATGTATATACTGTTGTATATACTGTGTGGAAATATTAACCAATCCTGATCCTCTGTAAAAAGCAATTCTATAATTCTGTATATATATATTATAATATATATTTGTTCATTACAATCTTACATATATATTTATATATTATAATTCTATAATTCTGTGTATATATATTATTGTCAAGGTTACCAGTGTTGCCTTTTGATATATGGGTAAATGAAATTATAATTAGTATTAAAGATAGTAATAGTATATAAGATGTAGAGCTTTAAGATGTCATTGCATAAATTCTATTTTTAAGGTGTCAAAATTTCTATAATAGCATTTTTCTTGATTTTTAACAATGAAAATGAAGAAATATATCTTGGTTAATTTGCAAAGGCAAGTCGTTCATGGAAAAGGTAGTTTTTTTTGTTGGGTGTTGTGGTGCATTCCTGTAATCTTAGCACTCAGGAGTTTGAGGCAGGAGGGTCACTGTAAGTTCAAGGCCAGCCTGAAATACATATCGAGACCCTGTCTCAAAAAAACCAAAATAATAAGTAAAAGGTAGCATTTAGTAGTTTCTGTTTAACTGTAATCAGTAATTGAAAATTTCAGTATCAAAGCAATGTATTTTCTGAAAAATACTAATTTCTTTATTCAAATAAGCCATCCTGGTAATAGCAGTTATCAGCTTATTCCCTTCAACAAATGTAAATAATACTGCCTCACTTTTCTCCTAGAAAAGATTATTAAGAAGTATGCACTTTTCATTGGATGGGCACTTGTCTGTCATTTCAGATATCTAGCTAGAGACCCATACTTCATGTGAGGATATTTATTTTACCATGTTTTAAGATGGAAAGACCTGTGCAAATTTTAGACATTATTCTAGAGCAGTGGTGGGGAATCTTTTAGAGACCGAGTGCCTAAACTGCAACTGAAAACCCACCTATTTATTGCAAAGTGCCAACACTGCAGTTAAACCTGAATACTGCGGTTTATACTGATGCTACGCTTCTGCAGTGGCTGGGCTGTGGTGCCTTGTAGAAAGGGGTTCTGCGGCGTATGGGGCACAGGTTTGCCCTCAGTCTTCCAGAGTAGTAAATGAGCTAACTCAGAAACTTACTTTTTTTTGGCCTAGAATTTATGAATGGATATTTCTTGTCATCTGAAAATAAAAACATTTGATTTTTGATACCTAGGAATTTCTTAAATATGGCTTTTGTAGTAGAGAAAGCATGTTAAACTACACATTACTCTGTATTTAAATTTTGCTTTTATTTTGAAGTTTTCCAAAGTAAACTTGCAGTGTTATTAATGAGGCTACTGTAATAACAATAGTATCCAGATTACCTCAGGAAATAGTACAAATAAATGAATGTTTACAGATCATCCACACAATGATCAGTGTTTGGCTGAGTGAATTTAAGAAGTAAAACAAAGACATTTCACTGTTGACAAAGTGGTTTACAGAGTATGTTGGGGTCAGTTCTCTCTAGTTTTTCCATATTTAAAATTATAAAATTTTAATTGTGTCAACTAGATAACTATTTTTGACATAACCAAACAGATCTATACTTAATATTTTGTCATTTAATATTTTTAAAAGTTATATGAAGACCATCTTTTTAGGTGGCCAAGGAGAGTATTGTGTATCAAAAGAATAGTTGATATACCAGGAGCTATTTTACTATTTAATAGCTTAGCTCACATGTGATGACTTCACACATGCATTGTGATTTTATGCAGTAGTTGAATAAAATCTTCTAAAGATTAAGCTGTGAAATGTATCCTTTGCATCTAGTTTTTGTAGTTAAAAAAAACCCATCCTTCCTACTTTTTAAAATTTTATATTTGTAATTGTCTTTCTGCATGATTCCTGATCAAATAAGCCTACACCAAATTATGTGCAATAGACTTAAACCTTTAAATAGTATGCAATGTTTTAAGACTATTTATTTAAAATAATTTTGTTTGCATAGCAATCAATTCAAGTGAGTTTAAAGATAGATGACTATATTTCCAATTTTGAGTAATTAACTCATGTCATTCCTACTGTGTTAGCCTTCCATTTTGCAGTGATTTTAGAAAATAGCTGTGTAATTTATTGAGCATTATTTTGGTGTTACTGTATAAACATAATAAATATTAAATTCTTATTTATCTTATGTTGCAAGATTGGTCCTGAAGTTTTTGTACTGTGTGTTATTGACTGTTTTTTCTGTCATCACTGAATTGCTTTATGTTTTAGTTCCCTTAGACTGCTATAAAAAACACCATATACTGGCAAGTGATAAAAATAGAATTTGTATCCTACTACTTTGAGGCCAGGAAGTCTGAGATCAAGTTGCCAACACATTTAGCATCCGTGAGGTCCCACCTCTGGTTCTTCCTGCCTTCTGACTGTTTCTTCAGTTAGCGAAAGGGGCAAAGTGAACAGGTTCCTGTGCATGACCTGACCACTTCCCACAGGCCTCATTTCAGACTTTCCTCACATTGGGTATTTGTAAATTTGGTGGGGAGAAGGGGAAATAAACATTCAATCCCTATCTTCCTTCTCGCTAGATACTAAATAACCTACATATTTTGCAAATGCACTATTTCAGAAAAACCTTTTTTGTGTGTGTGATACTATACATGGTTTTAACCCACAGCCTTACACGTGCTAAGTATGCTCCTCTTCCCAGCCTAGAGCGAAGTATCTTAATGGGCCTGCGATGGTTTATATCAAGACGTCCCCCTGCAGCCTCCTGGGATCCTAGTGTAGACCTCTGGAAGAGGCCTGGATTGTAGGGCTTGAGAGCTGACTTGCTGTTAGGAAATGGAGTCAGGTCAGAAGAGGCAGGTCACCAGGGCGTGACCCAGATTACAGCTCCCTTTCCGTCCCCTCTTCACTCTTTGCTTCCTGGCTACCATGAGGTGAAGAGATGTTTGTCTACCGTTCCCTGGTGCCCAGCTGTCCTGCCTTGGAGCCAGCTGACTGGACTGAAACATGAGCCAAATAACCTCTATGTTTAGTTGAGGGTGTCAGGTTTTTTTGTTTTTTCAGCTATGAGAAATGTGTAATCTAGTTTTGTGTTTTAATACTGCTTGAGTTATGAACTTTTTTTTTTTAATGGGTACTGGGGATCGAACTCACGACCGCCTGCTTGTAAGGCAGGTTCTTATGCCACTGAGCTAAATCCCCAGCCCCCGAATTATGAACTCTTGGTGAATATGATAAAAGCCATGTACTATCTTTTTTACACTTAATCTTATCCAAAAGGCCAAAAAGCAATGTACTGTTTTCTGTATTTTTCATTTTTCATGTTTAATAAGTCTTCATCAAATGCCTGCCATGTGGTTGGCACTAGGAATACAGCAGTACATGAGACAGAAATCTCTCAAGAAGTGAGGCTATAGATATTTTAGAAATAAGGAAAAGATACATCAAGTGGTAATGATACAGAGAAAGATAAAGTGACATTACAATATAGTCCCAAAGAGAAGGCTAATACTGGGAAACGAGTGGGTTTTAATTCTGGGGTTTGTAATCCTGATGTTTGTCTGTTTCTAGCGAAATATATGTCACAAATATTTCTGTGTAATTTCAGAGATTCATGGACTCCTGAAGCCATTTTCACATAATGTGAAATTTGGACTCAAGCAAAAATATCCAAAATGCTTGTATACCTGTTTTCATTAGCAAAGGGTGGGTTACATTACAATAACAACTCAAACTCCCACTGGCTTTCTATAGCAAAAGTCATCTCTTGCTTACTGAATATTCACTGTGGGTCCAGGCCAGTGGTGCTGAACCTGTGGCAGGCGGGCTGCAGCAGACTGTCCTGAAAGCTCTGAAAGGCCATCATCACTGGTCTGGGCATCTGCAAAGATAATTGTTTTCCAACTGGCAACTGTGTAACGTAAGCTGAGTACATTGTTGTGGCTCCATCATTTCAATGCCTGGCCTCCTCTCTGTGGCAGAAAGAGTGCTATAACATCTTACATCAACAAGATGTTTTTTCTTCATCTTGGACCTGTGGTTCAACTTAGCCAGAAGTAGTCACATGACCCTGCCTAGCTACAAAGAAAGATGCAAAGGAAAGAGTAAGCTTCACGAGCTCAAAAGAAAAGGATGTGAACTTCCTACAAGTTTCTGAATGGCTGCTAAAGAATATGCCACACGTGAGAGTTGCCCAGCTTTTTAAAAAAAATCATTCCCTAGATGACTGGGGGCTAATGTGTTTGTTGTTGTTTTTAATTGGAATAGCTACAAATTCTTTTTACCAAGATACTTAGGGTTTCTTTCTCAATGTGTCCTAAAAATTTACTGGGCGCCTCATGTGTTTCTAGTCAGATTCATATGCTAGCATCCCTACCAGAGTTTTCTGAAATACACAGTTCTTGGATTAATGATACATTGTCCTTCAGTATACACTGGGGACTGATTCCAGGACAACCCCCCCCCCACAAAAATACCAAAATCTGAGGATAAAGCCCCATATTAACATAGTGGCCTGTAATTTGTATGTAACCTACACACATTCATCTTCACATTTTAAATCATTTCTGGGTTACTTAGAATACCTACAAGAATAAAAATGCTATGTAAACAGTTGTAGTCTTTTAAAAGGTCTGTAATATTCAGTGCAGAGTTTTTTTTTTTCCTAATGTTTTCTATCTGTGCTTGGGTTGGTTGACTCCACAGATGTATAGTCTAAAGATATGGAGCACTTGAATAGGTAATTGTATTTGCTTTGCTTTCTTTTCTTCATACTTCCTGACTTCATGCAGGAAGTTGAGTTTGTAAGCTTCGACAGGAGATACATATACATGTAATCGTATTTCCACCCCTATGCATTTTTTTTCTTCAAGTGAGGGGGAAAAAAGGTTCCACATCCTAAATCCATTGAAAAATTTCCCAAAATAGACACGAGTCTAAACCTTCAATTACAAAATCTGTGGCCAGGGATACAGCTCAGTGGCATGAATGCCTGCCTGGCAAGAGTTTGATTCCCAGTGCTAAAATAAATAAAATAATGAAACTTACTACAAAGTTAATTTTAACTATTATTTTTGCCACTTAAAAATTATTTCAAGTTTATATCCTCCTTTTTCAAGGAGTTGAACTTGAAACGCCTGACTCTGTCAGGTTCACAGTTACGGTCCTGTTTGCTGTTTTGAATCTCACAGTCTTTCTTTTTTTTTTTTTTTCCCTGAGCTCTACTCTTTGTTTTTTGCTTTTCCTCCCTCTCGTTGTTCATTTGGGGTCTTGCTGCCGAGGCTGATCTTCCTGCCAAGCACCTGAGAATACAATTATCATGCCTAGTTTACTCTTTTTCATAATACCTTACTAAAATGTATCCAGCAGCATCTACCACACTCTAATGTGCTTTTCAGCTACTCCCCTAACTAGAAATCCATTATTATCCTCCAGATTTTGAGTAACAATTACATCCAGTGTTTCACTTATGCTTAATGTGAAGAACTATGTTTCTAGGTTCCAATGTTAGTTTTCTATGGCTGTCAACCAACCTTTGTTTTTCATTTTACGCTTTTCATTCGATTTTTTTTGTCTTTTTGAGACAAGGTCTCATTATGTACTTCAGGCTGGCCTTGAACTCATTTCGTAGTCCTGGCTGGTCTCGAATTTGCAACGATTTTCTGCCTCAGCCTCCCGAGTGTTGGGCTTACAGGCATTGTGCCACCATGCCCGGCCAGGATTTAAAATTGTAAGTGCACTCCTAATCACACAAAAGTTTACTTTGCAATAGTGCTTCCCCAGCTTTAGCTAAGAAATACTGTACTGTTGAACATTTTTTTCTTGTAAGTTTGTAACCTGAAGCTTCTGGCTTAGAAATTGGCACTTTTGATACATATTAAAACACTACAATCAAAGTTTTCTTTCCGACGAACTGCACTGCATATGCGTTTAGGGAAGCCATTTCGTAGTTAAGGCAAAGGAGCTAGATGAGAACTAAGCCTCCCGCCACTTTTTTCTAAAGATCACAGAGACTGAGGTTTAAGTTTCTCTGCGCCAATGTGCCCACGAGGGGGCGCGATGTTTTTAAATTAACAAAGACCCAAGGCTGCCAGGCAGCCAAGGTCAGCTTTCGCTGCCGACCCAGACTGGCCTCCCGCACATGTTTTTCTGAACACTCAGCGATGTGCAGCTAAAGAAGTCTGGCGTGCTGCAGACGCGGAGCCCCTGCCTGAACCGCTCTTCCGGTGGCGCCCAGTTACTAGCCGGGGTCGACTGGTTTCAATCTGGGGCTCCTCCATAATCTCAGAGGGGCAAGGCAAACTCACACCCTTTTCTGAAGCGGGAGCGTTCTTCGCCTCTTGAAGGGTCCTGTTATTAGAGAATTTGAAGGCGCGCTCTACGTAGAACACCTCCGCTCTGGGTTTCCAGCCCGTTATAAAGATGAAAGTTTGTCCCGTACGGCGCCCACACACATTAAGACGTAACACCTAGGAAAGTTGAATTGTAAAGGCAAGGTGGATTTGCCCATAACAAAAATGGCGCCGGAGCTCGACAACTCGATAGTCACGTGTTCACAAACCGGGATGAGAGCTACTATGGCTTCAGATGACGAGCGGATGTTATTAGTATTCACTTCCGGGTGAGACTACTCGGGCGCCATCTTGTCTTGTTCGTAGAAGTGGAAGCATCGAAAGGATTGGAGAGGTATTGGAAGAACGGAGGCGACAGCAGTGTTCCTGAACGAGGATAGGTAAGTGATGAAGAACAATTGCACGTGGGCACTTGCCGGAGTATAACCTTTTTAGTTTTTGTGGCGACGTAGCATCACTTTAACAGGCTGCGTACGCTGTTTGGTTCGAGAGCTGGAACCTTATACCCTTAAAGCAGCAGCGTTCGCTTGTGGATCAGAGCAGTGCTCTTGGTGAAAAGCAAGTCTTCTTACTAAGGCGAGCCTTTACGGCTCTTTTAAAAGTTTCCTCTCTCAAGACATGGGACTAATTAATTGTTGGACTCTTGGCCGGCCGTTAAGTAGTGCGCGTGCGCAGAAGCAACTCTTTTAGGGAGGGGTGTGCAGCCCAGAGGAGGAGGCCGGGACCGGGACCTGGAGTTTAGACCCATGCAGCTTTCACTACGCAGGCGCGGCCAGCGCGGCTGAATGCTGTTGGCTGTGATTAGGTTCTGTAGTTTTTTTTTTTTTTTTTTTTTCATGCGTTCTTATTCAGTGATGAACATTGTGTGTTAAGCTTCGTAAAGGTGACAGGTAGCGTTCAATATTTTAGTAGCTTTGTCCTATAGTGAGTAGTATTCTCATGTAAACCGATTGAGTACTAGACAAATTTTGATCATGAGTAAAATTGTTAAATTAACATTCACATTTAAGATCTCAGTCCTTCCGTATTTTTTCTCACACTAACTCCGAATAAAATAAGCGTAGAATTCATTTGAGTATACCAATGCAAAAGCAAAAGAGAACAGTAAAGATTTTACTAGTGGGATAGTTTTGTAAATGGTTAAGAGGCTTTTGGGAGACTAACAGTAACTCAGTTTTTTCTAAGGTGTTCTTGAGAAGTTCTATAGTTTTAAAAATCTGTATTGATAATTTATAATTTAGAACAGGTTTTATTTCACAGGTGAATTGAGTGGAAAGTACATACCATAAGTGCCCTCCCCTACCTCTTCACTTACTAACATGCATCAGTGTATTTTTGTTATAATTAATGGAGCAAAATTGATAAATTATTAACTGAAGTCCATAGTTGATTCCTGTTTCCTTAGTTTGTACCTAAAATTTCTTTTTCTTTGCTTATGCTATGTGGGATGCCACGTTCCCCATTATATTTACTTGTTATTTGCTTTGGGCTTTTTGGACTATGTTTCTCAGGTTTTTCTTGTTTTGATGTCTGTTATGGACTTGTGTCCTTCCGAAATTCATATGTTGAAGTCCTAAACTCTTTTAACCAAATTGAGAGGGTCTTTAAAGAGGTTAATTGAGATCATTAAGATGGATTTATTCAATATGATTTGTGTCTTTATTAGCAGAAATTAGAAGTCACCAGGCGTGGTGGTACACACCTCTGATTCCAGCAGTATGGGAGGGGGAGGTTGGAAAATCGCAAGTTTGAACCCACTTTAAGCAGTTCAGCAAGATCCTAAGAAATAGATAGGGGAAAGGGACAAGAAAGAATTAAGATTTGTTACGCACATGTACCAACATTCCACGATGAATATAATAATTATAAAGCTGTGATCATGTACTAACAAAAATATTTAACCAGGTGTGGTGGTACACACGTATGATCCTAGCTTAGGAGACTGAGGCAGGAGGATTTAGACCAGCCTGGTTTAAGAAGTGAGCTCAGGCCAGCCTGAATTGCATAGTGAGACCCTGTCTCAAAAAGCCCTAAATATATAAATAAAATTAAAAGACATTCTCCTCCTACAAAAACAAACAAAAAAAACAAGGAGTGGTGGTGGGGGGGGATGTAGCTCAGTCCCCCAGAACCTTAGGAGGAAGGAATGAATGAGAGAATCAGAATGAATTCAGAAGCAGATAATACCATCTATACCCCAAGGAGAGGAGGCCTCAGATGCAACTAATTCTGCAGAAGCTGATGCAGGGCCTTCTAGCCTCCAGAACTATAGTTAAATAATTTCCCCTTGCTTGACCTAGTCTTGTTACTTTGTTATGACAACCCTACCAAACCCAAATGCTGTGACCTTGATTTTTTTTTTTCTCTTTCATACTGGGGATTGAACCGAGGGGCCTTTGCATCAACCAACATCACCAGCTTTTTTAAAAATTGTTTTGAAACAGGGTCCCCCTGAATTTCCCAGGCTGGACACACTTGTGATCCCCCTCCTCCAGCTTTTGGAAGTACTGGGATTACAGGTGTGCACCATTATGCCTGGTGACCTTGACATTTTAAAACAATATTAGGTATATTGTAGTGTCCCCTCTTACTGTAATCTGCCAGATTCTTTCTCCTGATTGAAATAGATTTCATGATTTAGGGAGGACAATGACAAGAGGAAAAGTGTCCTTTTGATCACTTGCTACAAAGGTTACATACTGTCAGCCTAACCTCAAACAGTTTGATACTTTGGTCACGCCCAAGGCAATGTTTGTCAGGTTTTTCCACTTGAAGGTTCCCCCTCCTCTTTCCATGCTGTACTCCTTGGAGGGAGGTTCTTTTTGCATAAACATCCTTAAGAAAAAGAGAGTTCTGCCCCTTCTCCTTTAGTCTGGAGTATTTCTGTCGTTTATTTGGAAATCTGTTTGCCTTTTATATGCAGTTAGCTGTTTTTTTTTTTTTTTGTTTGTTTGTTTGTTTTTTTTTAATAGCAGTTTCTTCCTGGAACTGAGATGGTCCAGATTCATCATTTTATATTTCTGGCCCCAACGCTAGAATCAGCTATTTCTCAAAGGAGCTCCAAGTCTTTATTGCAGAATAATACTAGAACAAAATTCTACATTCTTAGATGTGCTTGTTATTAATAGGATGTAGCTTTAGACCTTCTCTTTGCCTTTTTTTAGTTTTCTTGTTTTCAGTGGGAGGGTTATTTATAACAAAAATACTCAATTCCGCCCATACTTTTTGAATACTGTATCGCTTTTGAGCAATAGGTTATAGAATATTTCATATATACTAAAGCATGTGCAGTATCAGTGGAGTTTATATACCCCAGTCCAACCTGGCACTATAGACATTTTGTCTTCTTTCTTAAAAGAACACCAGTCATTTGGTTAGGTCTCACCTAATCAAGTACAGTATGACTTCATGTAAATTTGAATACATTTCTAGAGATTATTTCCCATTCACAGGAATCAGGGGTTAGTACTTCAACTTATTTGGGGGAGAGGCATAAATCAGTTTATAATACTGCTGCTATAATGCACTATAATATTAGTGTTAATATTTTTCAAGCAGTGTGATAGTTTTGATGATTTGATGCAAGCCTTGGCTATTGGTCTTTCTGTTCTTCCTGATCCGAGTTGTTTTCCAAGGAAATTTCAATCTGAGCTCATGAAGGGAAGTATGTATTCAGGAAAACCTTGCACCCTGACTCATCAGTGATCACACTTCTCCAGCCTTGAAAAGCAGAGCCCGTGGCTCTCAAGGAAGAATGAATATATTTGAATCAGCTTTTGATGTTATAAAGTGACAGTAGTAGTAGAGAATGTTATTTTTATGGTTCAATATTAATGCATTCCGTTGAAATATTTGATCACTTAATATGAGCAAAGCATGGTGGAGAATTCAAATAATTGTATTTCCCTGCTGTCAAGAAAATTCTTGTCTGAGCCAAGACAAAGACACAAAAATTTAATATTTACTCCAAAATTAAGTATATACTCTACTTGAACTATATCATCTGTAACTTATATTTTAAAAAGTGTGAAAATATATTTGAATATCTTTGTTACCAATATTTTCCAAATCATTATTAAACCGGTATGTAAATGTCATTTTTAATGGTATAAGATTATGTTATTCATTGAGCTGTAGTTGGGCTGGAAGTATAGCTCTGGTAGGGAGCTTCCCCAGCTTTTGAAGGCTTTGGGTTCAGTTCTCAGTGTCATAAAACAACAGCAGCAAAACTACAATGAATTTAAAAGCACAGTTCACCTTCCCTGTCATCGGGCTCCACATTCATATACTCATCCAACTGTGAATGGGAAATATATGGGAAAAACTTCGCATCTATACTAAACTTATACATACTTTTTCTCCTGTAGTCGCTCATTCATTCATTCAGTATTTTGTTTTTTTTAGGACACAGTCTTGCTATGTATTTTAGGCTGATCCTAAACTCACTAGATAGTGCACGCTGGCCTGGAATTTGAGGCAGTTCTGCTTCAGCTTCCCAAATGCTGGGATTACAGGGATATACCGCCACACCCAGTTTTCCTCCTGTCCCCATTTAAAGAATATAGTGCAACAACTGTTTATGTAACATTTACAGTGCATTGGGCTTTGGAAGTTGTTTACCGGTCTTCTGTATGCAAATACTAAGAGTTTATATAATGAAATTGGGAGTCCTCAGATTTTAATATCCTCAGGGATCCTGGAACCAGTTTCACAGAGAGGGATCTCCTGCCTCTGGTGTGCCTTCATAATCTTTTTGTTTTCTAAATTTTGGATTAGTTAAGTTTGCTAGTAGTGGAAATTTTGTGATAAAAATAAGGAAGAAAAGAATTTCTGAATCTTTGCCACTGATCACTTACATCTTGTTCTTTAGTTAAAAATGTGGGTCTAGGGGCTGGGGATTTAGCTCAGTGGCTTAAGTGCCTGCCTTGCAAGTGGGCAGTCATGAATTTGAAACTGGTACCAATAAAAAAAAAAGATTTATGAAAGTATCATTGAGTGCTGTGCTGGGTTGAAATGGGTTAAAACATAAAAGTTTGTATAGGTATGTGAATAATTCTAGTTTCACACCAATTTCTCTCTCTCTTTTTTTTTTTTTTTTTTTTGTCTTTTTCCTTTTTATCGGTACCAGGGTCACACCAACTCTTAACCAGAATTTGTTCTTTTTCTACAAGCGTTGGCATAATACTAACTTAATTTTCATGACTGGAGGTACCACTTTTAGAATACATTGTAGAAATTAACTTTAAATCATACAAGAAAATGAAACAGGTCAAATGACTTGCCCAGTCTTCCTTGACACTTATTGTCACTTTCTTTGCTGTTTTTAGAATTCTATTCTGCTTCTTGTAATTTCACATCTTTTTCTGTATTTTTCTTACATGTACCAAACACTATGTTTGAATAGTAGCTCCCATAAAACATGTTGGGAAAGACGTTTTAGAAAACAGCTGTAGTTGGGGCTGGGGGTTTAGCTCAGCGGCATTAGCACCTGCCTTGAAAGCAGGCAGCCGTGAGTTCGATCGATAAAAAGGAAAAAGACAAAAGAAAAAAGAAAACAGCTGTAGTTAGTGTGTGATTTAAATATATAGAAAAATGACTGCAGGCAGTACAAGTAAGACTCATAGAAATATGCAAATAAAACTGCTGTGCATGGGAATGCATGAGGATTTGTTTGGCGGGGAGGGTTGTCCATTCAGCTGCCCAAGTATTCAACTTGCACTTGCTCCTTTCTTTTCATGCACTACTAAGCCTGGTTTTAAGAAATAATAAACAGTGAAAGCTTAAACCTATGATTTCATGAAAAGTAAGAATGGGAAGGCAAATTTAAAACTAAAGAGTCCTTCTAAAAATAAGGTGAAATATTGGGCAAGTTTTAAATTGCTTCTGGAGAAGCACAGTTGGCTTTATCCACCTGTTTTGAGTGGTGGTGTTGGGGTTAGACGGCAGGGCCTTTTACTTGCTAGACAGGCTTTGTAGCACTGAGCTACTTCCCTGTTCCCTCCCGCTTTAAACACTCACAGTTGTAAAACTGCCACCAGAAATAGGACTGAATAAGCACTGGTAATGTATTAACCACCGGTAGTCGGAGAGTCTTTTGCTGAGTTTTCGTTTGTTTCTCACAATAACACTGATGTAGACACTACTGTTAGGAACTTCAAGGATTAGAGAATAATTGCTCATCTTTACACAACTAGTAAATGAGATAGCTAAAAACCAGAGAGCTTTGCTCTGAGGTCAGGGTGGAAAGTGGTGACCAGGAAAATTGAACAAGTTGTCCATGGCAATAATGAAATATGACTTAGAAAAGGCAACTTTGTAGTGGTTTTGGAAACTTAAATTTATGTATTGGCAATGATAAGAGTCAGTACACGCTGACACATTATTTAATCATTTGAAGTAGGTTACTGTTTACAACTCCAGTAGGCATCGTGTAGAGCTGGTGGTAATGTCTGCATGGTATAAGTTTTTAATTTAAATGAGAGAAGAACCCAGGCACTGGCCTGCTGATAAAAATTTGGAAAGCATAGCAAAGCCAGGTTTAGGCCAGCTCATTAGTTCTGATAAGTCTAGGTCCACTGCTTCCTTCTCTTTTACCTGTAAAAGTAAGCAGAGGAGCTTATCACCACTGAGTGACTCGTTTGCTCTTTGTTTCATGCTGGCAGGGTAGATGCCATCCTGTATGTATCTCTTGGAGGATAAAGAGATACAATTTATATCGGTCTGTCACCTTTAGGAAGCTGTTAATCTAAAAGAAAGAAAAAGCATTGCAAGGATACATTTTTGTCTTTGAATGCTAGTTTCTGGTTTGTTTTTTTTCCTTTTGGTTTTTCTTAGACGGGGTCTGGCTACAGAGCAGGCTGGCTGTAAACTCACCATGTAGCTTAGACTGGCCTCACTCTCAGCCACCCCACTGCCTCAGTCTCCCACGTGCTGGGATTATAGGTGTGTGCTACTGAACCTGGCCTTCTAATGCTGATTTCTAAACAGAATTCCTTGGAGAATCTGATTTAATGTTTATTGTTATCTTATACCACTTAAGTTTAATACTAGGCAGGTAAAATCTTTCCAAATGTATAATCCTTGTTTCCTCATTTTCTAAGTTGTTTGACACTTCTGAATTGTCAGAGTTTTCCAAATAAGTATTTTGAAAATTAAAACACAATGCTAAAATGCCTAAAAATATTTGCCATTTCATTTCTGCTGTAGCTCTTTTCCTTAACCTTTATGTCCCATTATAAAATTAATAGAAGTAAACTTACATGTTAATTTGAAAATGCACATTTTAATGTTGCATTTATTTGTAAGATTTTTTTATCTTTATATATGACCACATGCTTTTTTTTTCTTTCTCCTTTAGGGCATAAATCTTGCTGTTATGCTTTCAAGCTGTAGTCTCAATCAGCCTAAATTTTAAACAGAAGGTGAGCCTCTGAAGTTAGTGGAAATAGCAGTTGTTTTTTTTTTTTTTTTTTTTTTTTTGATGTTTTCTATTCATTCATTCATTCATTCATTTATTTCTCTGAGTGTTAATTGTAGTTGTTATTTTTCTGATGTTTTAGCTTTAGAGGTTTTAAAAGCTGTAGTCGGGAAATTGGAGAAGGGACAAAGAGACACTAAAGACAGATTACAAAAAGCAGTGTATTTAGCTGGGAGCTGATACCTAGTTCCAGCTATTACCGCACTTGTGGTGCAGTGCTGCCATATTCTAATGACACTGTTGTAATAGACTATGTTAGTGCAGCCAGAAGATGAGTACATTTGACCTACAAGTAGACCCAAGTAGCAGAAAAATAGCACTTCTCCTAATTCACAGTGTTCTTCAGGTGAGAAATCTGATCTACCACTGACAGAACTGTGACGACAATCAGAGATTACCTGGAGGACTGGAGTTGTAAACTCCTGAAGGTCTGAGTATCAGTAGCCCGGTTGTCCATTAGAGTGCATGTCTTTGCTTTCTTATCTGGCTTTCTTTCTTTTTGTGAATTTGTAATACTAAGGTGTACTTTTGTCTTGTTTTTAGAGTAGAGGAAAGGGCCAATCTAGCAAGATTCATTTAATAAACATTTATCGAATGCCTTCTGTATATTAAGCCTTGGGGTACAGAAATAAAGAAGAAATAGCCAGACAGGCAGAAGAACTGAAAGTTAAGCTAGTGATTTCGTGAAACGCTGTCTTAAAATTTTAAAGGGCTAGGGATGTAGCGTGTATGAAGGCACTAAGTTCAATCCCCAGTGCTGCTGACAAAAAGAAATCCATCATGCTGACCACATGTGCCACTGGCTCATCAACAGGATTATATGTCAGTGTTTCATAAGGACAAAGATATTAGACTTGGGGGACTTTGAAGCTTTTCTTTTAATAAAAGTTTTCAGACTTGTTTACAGAACAGTACCCACCTTCCCCTTCTTGTTATTTGACAGCTCCGGTAGAGTATCTCACTTTCTTGCTTTGTGTGGTTATTTTTTCTAAAGTTGTTTATAATGTTCCTTTACTGTCTTGTGTTTTTTTACATTGGAAGCTCAGTTGGATTCAGCAGAACATTTTGGAGCAGAATATTCAGTGGTTCTAGTAACATAATACTGTATCTCATAGACATCATGTAATCTGTGGATGTTATTTTGGAAACTTTGGAATTTCTAATTTCTTACCAACTTTTCTTCTGTGATTTCTGGAATCAGTTATTAGATTTGGCAATATTGAATTTATTAGCTGTAATTACAGTGGTATCTCTGGTTCACGAACTTAATTCATTTTATGATTCTGGAAAAGAGGGGCATCTCTGTTCTTCACTTAATGCAGAGATTGCAAACAAAAGCACAGTTTTGCCAAATACCTGTGTTTGTAAACCAAATTATTTGCCAATAAAAGTGTTTGTGAACCAAGTTGCCACTGAACTTGCAATGAAGAACTTTTCTTCATCAGCTAGAGCAATTTGCTTGTTCTTTTAAAGGAGTCGTGGTTGGGAGACAGTACATCACTTTTTTTTTGCAATCTAGATTTTCAGAATTGTAATTTAATTGGTTAGAACTGTACTTGCCACCAAACTATTGACATTGTTATGGGTTACGTAGTTACCTGTGCTCAGGTTTATTTTTTGCTGCTAACGAGAGGCAATTTATTTTGGTAAAAAGGAAAGAGGATTTGTTTAAATGTAGCTGTAAGGAGATTGGCGAGAGCCTCATCATTCAAATCAGCATCTCACCAAACACAGGAGTTTTGGAAACAGTTTGGGGAGGGAATACAGAGAGCCAGCAGATGCGGGATAGGAAGGCTGGTCGCACGCCTTCCTGGACCTAGACTCTTTTCTTTCGTCTTCTCCTGTGGAAATGAAACTGGACTTTCACTATTTATCGGGGGTTGAGGAAAGATGAGGGTGGCAGTTTAAACGCTTAGGCCTGAGGAAGTTTGGAGAAGCCACTTGTCTTTAAAGGAAAAAATACCTAAATTTTGAAATTTCATTTTGCTATGTTGATTACAACATCAGTATTAATGTAAAGTTTTCTCTTATTTACCAACCTAAAAATTGTAGTGCTTCTGGCAACATGTTGGCCAGAATTTTAGAGCTCTCATCACTTTAATGTATCATATAATCATTTCTGATACGTGACATTGGAGAAGTGAAGAAGCTGCTCTGTAACTTTAAAATTGTGTTTAATTTATTAAAGATAGAAACTTGATACATTTTTAAAGAAAATATGTGGGATCAAGGAGGACAGCCGTGGCAGCAGTGGCCCTTGAACCAACAGCAGTGGATGCAGTCCTTCCAGCACCAGCAGGATCCAAGTAAGGAGCTGAATCGGAAGGGGGTGGGGGTGGGGGTGGGCATGTGAGATGGTGGCGGACAGATGGTGACACTGTTAGGGGTGGTGCATTGGGTCTTGTGTGGTCAGAACGTAATCCTCGCCATAAGTAGCTTTGCCATACATGGCTTCTGTGGTAAGAAATACATTTTATTTGGAAGACTTCCTCAAAGGATAGAAAACTACTACACATTTTTGCAATTTAGTGTGTTTTTCTAAAGTATAAAATTTTTTAAATGGAACATACTTCATTGTTAATTCTGAATCTTAGATTGTATTCACCTGTGTGCTGTGTTGCATCTCCTTAAGATTTCTTTTACTGTACAGTAAATACTTCAAGCATGAATAAGGTAGAAAAAAAGATTATAGGAAGCTCCCTAGACAGTATGATCACTTATTGGTGCTCGGCCTTTACTGAGTAATCTGATGGTATTTCTTTTTAAATTTAGTTACATAGCAGTTGTGTCTACAATTAAACCCACTTTTGGATATTTGATTTTTAGCTTTTTACTCTTTATATGCATTATTTATTTGTCAATTTTCTTAATATAAGAGGTAGGTTTGCTAAGTCACAGTTGCAGATTGGGAAAATTTTGATACACATTGCCAAGTTGAACTCCAGCTGTGTTATGCCAGTTTTATATTTCATAAAAATATGACATCTATTTTTAATAAACTGAGATATGAATAAAAATGTACATTCTATTTGGTTTATTAATGATTCAGATCTTGAGATGTTAGAGTTGTTTGGAGGGGAAAAATAGAAAACTTTCTAAATGGTAGGGACAGTGAACTTTGTGAAAAGGGTGGCTGAAAAGAAAGCATAAGGAGCCAGGTTTGGGTTGGCAAAGGGGAGCGCAGAGGCGGGCGGCCCTGAGGCGGGGCAGGAGGGGCGGGCGCCAGCGCCAGCGCCAGTTTGGGTTCTGTGCACTCAGCGGTAGTCCCGGAAAAAGAAGGAAGTGATTGAGTTTATTTTTATGGTGGTTTAAAGGGGGGGGGTGACTTTTTAAAAACTCAGTAAGATACAGGGCATAAATTACGTATGAGTTAATATTAGAAATGGGTTGAGTGTTTTTGTGGAATGCTTTTCTGAAAATTTTTAAGTAATTTATATTGTAGCCTGAATATGAACTATTTCCTAAGCTTTCAGGTGTAACAACAACAACAAAAAAACTAATATGCCTGTTTCACACAGAAATAGTATTCATTGAATTTCTACATTCTGGATAATGAGTTCTGCGTTAATTTCCATTAGGCCAGATTGACTGGGCTGCATTGGCTCAAGCTTGGATTGCCCAGAGAGAAGCATCCGGACAGCAAAGCATAGTAGAACAACCACCAGGAATGATGCCAAATGGCCAAGATATGCCTACAATGGAGTCTGGTCCTAATAATCACGGGAATTTTCAAGGAGAGTCGAACTTTAACAGAATGTGGCAATCAGGTTCGTTGTTTGTTTTCTAAATATTAGGATGATTTTTAAAATAAAATGAAAGTTAATAGTGAATTTACTTGATTATTGCCTGTTTTAAGGCTTCTTGAAGTTAATACTCAGTGAAGAGTAGGCAATCTTGATCTGACCTTGATATTTTGTGGTTAAAATAGAGTGTTAGCATTGAGGCACTTAGTTTACTCTTTCCTTGATTCTTCATTCCTAGGCCTGATAGGGGCTGGGGACCACTGGAAACTGCACTTGGCACCTGGGAAAGAGAGCCTTGTTTTTCTCTCTTGTAACCTCTGGCCTTTTCAGAAGCAGCACTGGCAGAGTAAAACATATGTAGCCTCCAGTTAAAGGAGAGTTGTGCCTCTGTGACAAATCTGTCAGATAGACTCTGCCTCTATGATCCACCTACCTTTTTCTACCCTTTTTTTTCAGATAGTAAAGATCTTCCATAAGTTTTTTTTTTTTTTTTTTTTTTTAACATAATATAATTTAGATTCCTACATACCAATTTAGTTCTTTGGGGCTTATATACTATTTTTTAGTAAGTATTTGACAGTAAAAAGGAATTTTGCATTTGGTATGCTTACAGTGAAGTCATAGTCCTTTTCCTATTAATAATTATTTTTTATGTAACTATAAAATAGGATGGAAAATACAGGCTGGAACTCCTAAACATCACTTTAAAAGAATAACAGATATTTCGATCTTGTATATTGTGAATTAGTTTCTTAAAATTCAAATTTCCTCAAGTTTGAAGATGTTTTAGTTCCCAGAATTCAGGTTTATAAATGACTTATCTTGATATCCCAGCCATACCCATCCCCTTTCTACTCTTTGTGACCCTCGCAAGTTATTTAATCTTTTTGTGCCTTAGTTTCTTTTCCTGAAATCAGCAAAATTAATAAATGATTTTTCCCTACCTCACAGGGATGTTGTGAGGATAAATGTGTTCATGGAAGAAAGAATTTATATAAGGTTTTGAGGTATTTTTATTGTGTTATTTTATTGAACAAAAATAGAAAAATTCAAAAAAGTTGTTTTGGATTTTGTTACATTCATTAAAAATAATGTATGTTTATTTTTCTGCTTATTTAGTGTGTAGAGTGGCATTAATTCCTTTGAATTATTTGTAAGATACTTTAGTTAATTGCTTATTTTTAAGATATATAAAAGAAATTTGACTTAAGTTATAAGTTCTTTAACATCTGTTTCTTCTCTGAAAAATACAGCTTTCTTGAGATCTTGAAATTTGTGTTGATTTATTATAACCCCCTGTTGAATGTTTTTATGCCTAAATCCTAAATAGAATGGGGAATGCATCAGCAACCCCCACACCCCCCTCCAGATCAGCCATGGATGCCACCAACACCAGGCCCAGTGGACATTGTTCCTCCTTCTGAAGACAGCAACAGTCAGGACAGTGGGGAATTTGCCCCTGACAACAGGCATATATTTAACCAGAACAATCACAACTTTGGTGGACCACCCGATAATTTTGCAGTGGGGCCAGTGAACCAGTTTGACTATCAGGTGAAAGATATTTTGTTGCTTTAATACCGTAGATGTGCACGTAATCCATTCTTTGGAAGTGTCTCATCAAGAATACCTAAGATACGTGTTTTCACTTCTCAGAATTGTACAGATAAGCACATACAGAGTTGCAAAAAATTTATCAGTTTTTGAGTATTAAAATCATGAGATTTTTGATTAGGAAAATGGTACAAAAGATTTCTTAGGAAATTTTTGTACATAATGAAAAATGTATAAGTTCAAAAGCTATATGCTATATTTTCTAATTTCAAAATGATAGATTTTAATGTTAAAGTTTAGAAAATACATATTAGTTGAATACATTATCAATAAAAGATTAAGGGTAAGACACAAAGAAAATACAAACACAGGTGATCTTTCTAACTGCAGTTGCTCTTGCTGTATGGAATAATGACTTTTTCTAGTGTTATTTTTTCCATTCTGACATGGCATGTTAATGGAATTGTACATGATTTCCTTTGTAACATCCAGTCCATTCTTAGGGACATAGAACTCTATGGAGATTAGTAATAAAATATGGGGCTTTATTGTCTTAATCCACTCTGTAAGGCTCTACCCTAAAATTATGGAATTAAATGTCATTTTGAAATACCTACTGCAGTTGTTATTTTATAAATTGAATTGTCAAAATTAAAAATTTTGAAATAATTCAGAGATAAATTTGATAATACAGTCACCTTGAGATAGTAATTCTTTAGTTAGTACATATTCAGATACTTGTGTGCTCACACTTGGAATACATATAGCAGTTTTATTTCATTCACAAAAAAATGTAATGATAGGATGATTGTACTTACCCGAGTTTTGCTTGGTGGATGCCATGCTAACAAGACAAAGCTCTCGAGGCAGCTGTCCTTAGAAAAGCCTCTGAAAATAGCAAAAAGTAGTTACTAATAATATTTCAGTAACTTTCTTATTAATAAATATATCATGCAAGAATATAAAAATAACTTAAATTCACTAGAAGTAGGAAATTGCAATCAACAGCAAACAGTTCTTAGCCGGGCATGGTGGCACATGTCTGTAATCCCAGCACTTGGGAGGCTGAGGCAGGAGGATCACCAGGAGTTCAAGGCCAACCTGAACTACAGAACTGAGACCCTGTCTCAAAAACTGAGAATAAAAAAATTACCCCAAACAAAAAATATTTATTTGTCTTGGTGGAAGTGAGGATAATTTTTAAACAAATTCACAATGAAAGAGTTTATTAATATATAATATACATATATACACATTTGTATGTGTATATATGTATATAGAGATGTGTATATATGTATATACATGTATTTATACACACATAGTCTATTTCTTGAAAGTAGTGTATCAGCTGGCTTTCAGAAGACTTTGCACTTTATACAGGCAGAAAGTCAGTCTTAAGCCTAGGTTCTTGGGGCTACAGAAATATTCGTGCTTATTAGAATCATGGAATTCTTGGATTTGCTGCACACATGGATTTCTACTGTCCCACTTCATAACACACGTGTGTCCCAGAGTATATTGTATTAAATTGAAGAAAAATAAAATGCAATACTCTTTCAGCATGGGGCTGCTTTTGGTCCACCGCAAGGTGGATTTCATCCTCCTTATTGGCAACCAGGACCTCCAGGACCTCCAGCGCCTCCCCAGAACCGAAGAGAAAGGCCATCTTCATTCAGGGATCGGCAGAGGTCACCTATTGCACTTCCTGTGAAGCAGGAACCTCCACAAATTGGTAGCTATTTAAGTTTGGTGAACTACAGTTGGCATGATTTATCTTTAAAAAAGGATGTCATATTTTTGTAAATTGTTCTAATGCCTTGATATATTAAAAGTTGATACATTAAAACCCTGTTGTAGAAGCTGGACACGGTGGCACATGCCTGTATTCCCAGCACTTGGGCGGGTGAGGTAGGATCACCGTGAGTTCAAGGCCAGACTGCGTTGTGAAACCTGTCATTTTATAGTCATAAAGTTACAAAAAGATACTGTACTTAACCAAAGTGTGTTTTGAAATCTTTTTATTATAAGCTCTAAATTTTGTGATGAAATACATGTTTTCAGTGACCAGTATTTTTGTATACTCTGCAGTGTTGAAATTTTAGTACATTAGGCAGATTATTTGCCCTTCTCAAAGTCTAAATGTTCTCTGTCTCTGTTTCACCTTCAGTTAATCTGTTAGTAACAGCAACTAACAGTTCAGTAAACTGTTGCTAGAGTAGTTTTCCTTTTATTATTTCCCTTTCATAAGTATTTGGCAGAAAATTTTAATTTTTAAATAAGTTTTTGTCTGTAGCAAGTCACATATATGTACCACTTTGTTTAGAAACTTGTAAATCATCCAGTGAACTAGAGATTTAAGTCTTTCTTACTTGCTTCTGAATAGATGCTTGTTATAGCTGCTATTGAGGAGTGAGTTTGTTCGTTTGGTGAGACAAGTTCTTGTTCTGTGTTCCAGGCTGTCTTTGAACTCGCATATGCCCTTGGCTGGCCTCCAATTAGGTCCTTCTGCCTTAGCCTCCCAGTCCTGGCATCACAGGTGTATGCCAGCTTGCCCATTGCAGTCTTTCCTTTTTACAGTTTAGAGAAATTCCAGCTTACTGTTTTTTTATTTTTGTTAACTATTTACTAAATGACTTTTTAGTGTGAAAACAGACTTGTGCTTTTGGCTTTGCTCTGTGTTCTTATTTTAGGAAGTGGTTTTTTTGTTTTTTAAATAAGAATTTGGCTCTGTATCAGCCCATGGCACCATTTACTTTCACCTCGGGCACATCACTATCTGAATGTCCATTTCATCATCTACAAAAGACTGCCATAACAGCTTGATCCCTGGGGGCTTTTATAAAGATTGAATAATGACAGTTCAGTGTGCTTTTATTGTGTCCTGACAGACAAAGCATTAGAACTTGTCCCTACATTTTGTCAAAAGGGATGATTTTAAAGAAAGCACACTGTGTGATGAGTGTTGTCTATTTGTTTTTATTCAGAAAAATTTGTACAGAATCAGTAATAAGGAATTCTTTTTTGTTTTTTCCTGTATGAAACAGATGCAGTAAAACGCAGGACTCTTCCAGCTTGGATCCGTGAAGGTCTTGAAAAAATGGAACGTGAGAAGCAAAAGAAATTAGAGAAAGAAAGGATGGAACAACAACGTTCACAATTGTCCAAAAAAGAAAAGAAGGCCACAGAAGATGCTGAAGGAGGCGATGGCCCTCGTTTACCTCAGAGAAGTAAATTTGTAAGTAAAATATTTTGTTACAAAACTCTGTATAAAGGTTATTGAAGTGGACATTTTAGACTGCAGAAAAATGCTAATGTTCCTGAGATAATCTGCGGTAAATATATTGAGTTTATGTTTATGAGTATGTGTGCTGAGGGTGGAGATACTCTGTAGGATTCTGAATGTGTGTTACCTTTATAAAGAATTTGTTTTTTTTTGTGGTGTAGCTGACTCCCTCATGGTAGTTTATATAAAGCAAAACTATGTTAAATGATAATAGAGAAGAATGCAATAATTTTTGACATGAGTAATGAAAGTCACTGTTTTAAATGTTTAAATCTTTACTCATCAGTTGGATGGCATGAGTGCTTTAGGAATTTATTGTTCAGGAATAGTGGGGTTCTGGCTGATACAGCAGCCACATTGCTGGTCAGAGTGCAGGAAAGGAAATGAGTCTTCCTCCAAGGCCATTTTCTTAGGATTGCTAGGAATGACCATAGAACACATGTTTCAAAGACAGAGATATTTCCTCAGTCTGAAGTAGACCTAAGTTTTCATCTGTCCATTCAGGCAGTCTGAGATCTTAGAAGTGACTTTCGGAAATTTTTCACATTACATCACAGCTTAAAAGTTACACTGAATAACATGCCTGGCCCATTTTTCCAAAATTCTATAAACCACTTACTTAAAGACCATCATGTATAATGAATAGGTTAATGAAATCTCTCTGTGGGCTTGATTTTTGTTGGTTGTTTACAAAATGAGATCAAAATTGACTAATGAGAAAAGAAAATAGAAAAAAATTGAATTTCATAAACCCTTTTGTAATTTTGTATTTCTTCCAAGGTTATTCTTGAAATTATCAAATGAAATCTGTAATAAATATAATTTAGGGGCCAGAAGTATAGTCAGTGAAAGAGCATGTGTTTAATACCTTTGAGTTCCTGGGTTTCAGCCCCCAGCACCAGAAAAAGAAAGACTGGGGAAAAAATGTAATTTTGACAGAAATTGCACTTTTTTATTTTTATTGAGTCAACTTTTATTTGAGGTTTTAAATTTTTGATAATTCAGGTAGGAATTTTATATTCTAAACATCCATTTGAGCTGTTCTATTTTTATAGGACAGTGATGAAGAAGATGAAGACCCAGAAAACACCGAGGCTGCCAGCAGTGGGAAAGTCACCAGAAGCCCGTCTCCAGTTCCTCAGGAAGAGCAGAGTGAGCCGGAGATGACTGAAGAAGAGAAAGAGTATCAGATGGTAGAGTGTGAAGTTTCTGTCTCGGGCAGTAAAATATCTTTGCTTTTGTTTGTTTGTTTGAGACAGGGTCTTGGATGTTCAAAGAAAACCTCCTTCCTCAGCCTCCTGGGTACAAAGATTATAGGCAATGCCATTGTGCCTGGCGGTTTTTTGTAATTTTTTAAATTGTTGATTGGTTATCTAAAACGTTTAAACCAAGAAATCAAAACAGTTAAAGAATATTTATCCACATGTAGATTTCCTAGGCAAAGTATGTCCATAAAATTCAGATAGCAACATTCTCCCCTGGAAAAATCCACTAAATGGTTAATACAAAATCACAGCCTATGAGTTATTATGAAGCCCATTTCTTTTAGTTTTTTCTTTCTTTTTTCTTCATTGTATTTTCTCTCCTTCTGGTCATATTGCAAAGGCATTCACATTTTTATAGATTTATAATCACATTTTCCTTTTTAAAGCTGTTTCTTAACACCAGTGATTGAATTAGAATTTTACGGTGTGAGGCCCAAGAACATTTATTGATTTAAAGTAAAAATAATGAGAAAGATTAGAAGAATTAAATATAGTGATTTGATGAGAACCAAGTCAAATTTCCCTGTAAGGTCAACATTTAACCTGGTGCCTTGGTTTGTGAATTTAATTCTTTTCACGAATCTGGTTGCACACTGTGTTGAATGTGAACCAAATCAAATTCAGTGGTTAGGTACAGTGTTGTCCTTATGGAGAAATTTTGTTTGGTTATTGTCCAGTTGGGTTTGTGACTAGAATTGTGGAGAGAAAAATTGGTTTCATGAACCAAGGTACACTGTACCACTCTAAGTTTAGGAAACATTGATGTTGAGCACAGTTAGGAATGTTGCTTCATTGTAAGTTTTCTTAAAACCTTTATTACTTATAAGGTATATTGTCACTGTATGAAACTAGGAATATATTGTATGGGAAGCTGAGGCAGTAGAATTGTTGCAAGTTTGAGACCAGCCTGAGCTACAAAGTTAAGATCAAGGCTAGCCTCAACTGCATATTGAGACTCTGTCTCAAAAGCCAAAAATACATATATATCGTGGTACATTTCCCATACTGAAAGACTAGTGATCTTTAGATACTGATTCTGTATACCTCATAAGCTGTTGAGCACAGAGAAGTGAAAGGCCTACAAGTACATTTCAAACAGTTGTTGATAGCTAGGCCAGGAATCCAGCTCTTATATCAAATCTAGAATACGCCATTTTATATTAACGTCTACTTTTAAGGATGCTGTTATTGTTTACAAGTATGTTAGAGCAGTGAGGAATAAAAGGACTTCATTTGGCAAAATGGAATAACATCTTATTTTTTTACCCTTCAGATTTTTAAGCTTAAACTAGTATTGTACTACTTATAAATATTAACTGAAAAGCTACTTACACTTACAGAATTTTTTATTAATAAAAACTTTCTACATTTTAGTCTAAAATAAAAATTCAGTATCTGCATGGGAAGATTGATTTTTTTTCTTTGAACTCTGTTATTTTGAGTTTTTTTTCAAGTTCTGATGTTTTAGAATAATTTTAAGATTCTCTTCCTTCACTTGGCTGATCCTGATCTCAGAATGTTGCATGAGCTGACTTTGCATTAAACTATATTAGTAACTAAATTAGAAACAGTATATAAACTTGTTACTCCTTAGATGTTGCTGACAAAAATGCTTCTGACTGAAATTCTTCTGGATGTCACAGATGAAGAAATTTATTATATAGCCAAAGACACACATCGGAAAGCAACGAAAGGTATATTGTGGTTTTTCTTGGTTTTGCTTTTCTGGGGGAGTTTTGATTTCATTGATTCTTGGACTTTTTTGTTATCCTTTGGATTACTATCAGTTATTTAAACATTCTCCTCTTGCATGTTTTAACTCTTTGGGAAACATTAGATTTGTAGACACTGTATTAAAACAACACAGATTTTTTTTTTTTTTTATCTGACAGCACAGGTTAGCAGTCATGGTACTGTCTAGTAGAGTATATTACAGAACATTCCTAGTGTTCAATTTATTTCACCTGACTTTTTTTTTAGTAGATGCCATGGTATTGGTGTTGGTTTAAGAACCTTCAGAGTTTTCACTGTTAAAATTCTTACAGAAGCAAGTAATTTCCAATCCTTCGGCATGGTTTTAATAACACTAAAAACATTAAAACAAAAATCTGTGCTATTACTCAGAAGCAGAAATACAGATATATACTAGTCAACATTTTTCCTCATTATAAACAATTTCAGCTCACATCAGAATTATAGTTTCAAAGCCAGACATGATACTGGTTTAAAATGAATGTTATGTTTTTAATGTTTCTTCTCTCCCCCCAAAAAGCAGCAATAGTAGTAGATTTAACAATACCCCGTAGACTCTCATGACTATGAAATCGTGGCTATTTGTGTTAACATGTTGTTCCTGTTGTTGATGTGATACAAAGCTCCTGCAAAACAGCTGGCACAGTCCAGTGCACTGGCTTCCCTAACTGGACTCGGTAAGTGTTCTCCTTACTTTGGAGAGGGCCTAAAGGGAAAGTCACACTTACCTGTCTTTCTACGTGCTCTGTTTGAAATTGCACTATTCCTACTCAGTTTAAGAAACCTACTCTCAGGGGTAAACACGGTTTACATTTCTTAACTAAAGCATTCACAGTGGGACTATTATAAATGTGATGACTATTTCATAGATTATTGGGGCAAGGTGAGTGGAGGATTTCTTCATCAGTTGCTCCAATACGTATATTTTATATATATATGATGTAGTTTGTACTTGATGTTAGACAAAAGGCCAGGTAGCGATAGTTTGTACTTAACAGGTCATAATTTAGCTATGACAGTACCTAACTTCACTTTGGGAATTACTGCGTACATGCTGTAGGGACTTACTTATCCACTAATTTTAATGACTTTCATATGAATTGTGTTGTAGTAAGTTGAGTTTTAACAGAGGAGAGGGTTTATCTTACTACAGTGTAACAGTAGTGATGTGTTCATAATTTACTATTTGCATGATATATTATCAAGGCTCTAAAGCTTGAATTTGCCTTTTCCATATCCTCGTTTCATATTAATTTTTGTGAGGAACCAGATTGTAGGTAGAATAAAATGCCCATATGATTTTGTTAGTAACATTTGGATCTCTTCAGGGTGGGGAGTAGTTTCAGTATCGTAACAGTTCTGTACCAGTGAGCCATTTTCATGGTTACTTAATGGGGAGAAATGCGTGAAATATTCCAGAAACAATAATGCAGTAGGTGACTACTGTCTGAGAGTTCTTTGAACTCGGTAAGCATTTGAAAGTATACTTCTCCCCACCCCGAACATACATTCTTTCGGGAAAAGGCAATGAAAAAAGAAATGAGCTTTCTTCTCAGACCTTAAAAAGTTTTTAATGGACAGTGCAGTATTTTCGTATAATAGACTAAGCTTTACGCACACAGGTGGACTGGGTGGTTACGGATCAGGAGACAGTGAAGATGAGCGGAGTGACAGAGGCTCTGAGTCATCTGACACTGATGACGAAGAATTACGGCACCGAATCCGGCAAAAACAGGAAGCTTTTTGGAGAAAAGAAAAAGAACAGCAGCTACTACATGATAAACAGATGGAAGGTGCATCTTTTAGATTATCTAATTTTATCTAATTTTAGATAATTTTGTCAAGTGTAGCATGTTTTTGCTTTGCTGGTTTTGTTTTTGGTTTTTGGAAACAGGGTTTTGCTATATAATTCAGGCTGGTCTTGAACTTGCTGTAGCCCACAGGTTGGCCTCAAAATCTTGGTGAGCCTCCTGCCTCAGCCTTCTCAGTATGGGATAACAGGAGTTGGGCACCACCCCTGGTTGGTTTTTTTTTATTATTGTTTTTATCAACCTAAACATCAGAGGACAGAGTTAAGGCTAGATTATAAGTAATATGTGTTGCAACTGAGACCATTCACAGTTTTGTTTGTTTGTTTTGTATTAGATACCATTCATCCTGGAGGCTATAGGCCCAGCTATTTAACAGGCTACTTTGCTTTCTTAGTAGGATTGTCGAAGTGAAATAATGACTTTCGAAATGAAGGAGATACATTTGTAGTACAGTTGAAAAGTAGCTAGAATATTTAGGGATAATTAAAGACTACAAGTTTTTTTTTATTAAAAATTATAATGTATAATTATATAATAGGAAAAAATGAAAGAATGCATAGAATTTCTGCTCTTATAAAATCTCATTTGGGCAGCTTCAAATGTAATTAAGACTTAGCACTTAATGTTTCCATTTTTACCTTTAAGTTGCTATATAATTCAACAAAAGGAAAATCTTTCTGCCTGTGCATCTCTATATTTTGATAACTCATTTTGATTATGCTTCACTGTACAAAATATTAGCCAACTACATATGAGTATTTGAAATGTTGCTAGCTCACATTGAAATGTGCTGTAGGTATAAAATACACATTAGATTTTGAACATTGTACTTGAAACAAAAATCTTATTTTTTAAATTATTTGCATTTTAAAATAATAATTTTGACCTACTGGGTTAATAATATTTTTAAATTAGTTCTACTCATTTCTTTTTGCCTGATTAATGTGGCTACTAGAAAATTTCGAATTGTGTGATTTGTATCCTAATTTTGTACCCTGATTGTTAGTCTAGTAGCTTAAAATTTAATAGTGTAGCAATTTTTGGTTTTACATCCAATTTTTTTTTGTCTTTTTTGTTTCAGAAGAAAAGCAACAGACAGAAAGGGTTACAAAGGAGATGAATGAGTTTATTCACAAAGAGCAAAATAGTTTATCACTTCTAGAAACAAGAGAAGCAGATGGTGATGTGGTTAATGAAAAGAAAAGAACTCCAAATGAAATGACATCCATTTTAGAACCAAAAAAAGACCATAAAGAAAAAGAGAAACAAGAAAGGAGTAGATCAGAAAGCTCCAGCAGTAGTTCCAGCAGCAATAGCAGAACTAGCAGTACTAGTAGTACTGTCTCTAGTTCTTCTTACAGCTCTAGCTCAGGTAGTAGTCACTCTTCTTCTCGGTCGTCTTCTCCTAAAAGAAAAAAGAGACATAGTAGAAGTAGATCTCCAACAGTTAAAGCTAGACGTAGCAGGAGTAGAAGCTACTCTCGCCGAATTAAAATCGAGAGCAACAGGGCTAGAGTGAAGATTAGAGACAGGAGGCGGTCTAATAGGAGTAGCATTGAAAGAGAAAGACGGCGAAATCGGAGTCCTTCCCGAGAGAGGCGTAGAAGTAGAAGTCGCTCCAGGGATAGACGGACCAATCGTTCCAGTCGCAGTAGGAGTCGAGATAGGCGTAAAATTGAGGACCAGCGTGGAAATCTTAGTGGGAGCAGTCATAAGCATAAAGGTGAGGCTAAAGAACAAGAGAGGAAAAAGGAGAGGAGTCGGAGCGTAGACAAAGATAGGAAAAAGAAAGACAAAGAAAGAGAGCGCGAACAGGATAAAAGAAAAGAGAAACAGAAAAGGGAAGAAAAAGATTTTAAGTTCAGTAGTCAGGACGACAGGTTAAAGAGGAAAAGGGAAAGTGAAAGAACGTTCTCGAGAAGTGGTTCCATATCTGTTAAAATCATAAGGCACGATTCTAGACAAGACAGTAAGAAAAGTGCTGCCAAAGACAGTAAGAAGCATTCAGGCTCTGACTCTAGTGCAAGGAGCAGTTCTGAATCTCCAGGAAGTAGCAAAGAAAAGAAGGCTAAGAAGCCTAAGCATAGTCGATCGCGATCCGTGGAGAAATCTCAAAGGTCTGGTAAGAAGGCAAGCCGCAAACACAAGTCTAAGTCCCGATCAAGGTAGTATACTTTTTAAAGTATTTTGTCTGATTTTTTTTTTTTTTTTTAATTTTTTGACTGAATTTGTTCAAAGTTGAAAGTGTCCTTTCTCTCTCTCTTTAATAACGTCAGTTTGGTACTTGATAAATGATCATAGTTTAAATAATATTAGAAATCCTATATAATAGTATTTATTGAAAATTGCAAATTTTTAGTTCAAAATACATTTTTATTTTTAAATTTTTGTCTTTTCCCTTTTTTTTTTTGCAGATCGACAACCCCTCCCCGTCGTAAGCGCTGAGGAATGATGTGGCAAGAATGCCATGATGTTTTAACAAATTCCATGAGTTTTAAGGGCTTGTCTCATTATAGAGGCACATTGTGGCTGTGTAGGTGAAACGAGAATCTTTTTTTTAAAATCTGTAAATAGGTGTACTTTTTCGAAATGCTGCTCCAAGTTACTTAATAGGATTTCTTTGTATTACACTTTTTTCAAAAAATAGTGCATAATAAGACTATAAACATGCCATTCTCTTTCAGCTGTAATGTTCTTAAACTTATTCTTGAATGTACTGTGATGTCAATAAAGCTCTTAGTTCATTTTTGTTAAAACTCTTGCACCTTAATTTTATGATTTTAATCTAAGGAACACGCTTTTCTAAAAAGCAGCTGGAATTTTGTATATCAGGTTTTAAAGATACGTCCTTCCATCTGCCCCAAAGAAAAATGGTTTTAACTTTAAAACATCTTGTCAGAATTTATGAATTGTACCCATGGACTTTTGTCAGATTCCAACTTTAAGGGTGTGGAAGAGGGCCAAAATAGACCTTTTATTTTTACTTGAAAGCATTTGATTAACTTTCGAAACTTATTTGGGGGATTTTCAAGTAACTGCATAGTCTCTATGTAAGGTATGGTTCACACTTGTAAAATGAAGTTGCTAGAATCAATCAAGCCAGTACATCAGTGTAGTTCTTTGTAATGACCACTATATTTTACATCCACTTTATTTCACTCACTTCTGTTTTGGAGATATATTGAAACACTTTTGGGTTACTACAGAAATAGGACTTAAAATTCAATATTTTTTAAAAGTGTAACATGACCTCGGCCCAGTGGAAGAGTGTTGTAATGCAGGTTTGTGTCAGTTACATAACATTAAAATATTCTGATTTTGTCAGTTTCTAAAAATTTTGATGAGTGGATGGTCCAGTTTAGAGGAGTAACAGTTTATAAGTTAGAGGGCTCTTAAGGAATTTTACCTTTAGTGCTCAGTTGCTATCAGGGTCCATTTTTTTATGATTATGCACTTACACAGTGATAGATCAATCTCAAGACAGATGCTTTTAAATTTGATTTTAAAAAGAAATCTGGACACAGAGATGATTTTAAAGTATGCCTTTTTACCAACAGTGGTTCATTTTAAAAACAGTGCCAGGTTTTTGCCAAGATCAGTGTTTCCTCAAAATGAAGATTAAAAATAGATTTTGTAATGTGCTCTACATAGGTTCTTAATTAATTTTGAGCAGTTATTTATCTAAAGGAAATAAACTGTGAATAAATGCATGTTTACCAAAATGGCTGTTTACAGTGCATTTAGTTCTGATATTTATAAAGTTGACATTTCACAGAATAATTTTAAAATAGTTTGTAATTCTATATGGTTTAGATCAGTCATACATGAAGACAAGAAAAATGTGCAATATTTTTTATGTAGATGAGCTAACTGAAGTGTACCCAACTAAGAATTACTGAGTATTTGTAATAGATAAGTTGTATAACATTTTCATATCTTAAAATGTTTTTTAGATCAGTCTTCGAGTGAAATACTATTTTCAAAATAAAATTATACAGAAAAATTCTACTGGCTATGATACACACATTTTTGCACAAAATATAAACTGTAGTCAATAATAGTATTTGACAGTTTTATCTACTCTGCCATGATTTGCAAGTTTCATATCATTTAAACTGTTGATTAAAAAATGACAATCGTGAATAGTAAATATCAGTGTTATAATTAGGTTCTTGGATTTTTCATATTTTATGGAAAATTGAGAGAATTCACCATTTCCTTGACTTAGTGTTTGGCAAGGGTGTGTAAAATAGAGCTTCCATGATTTAGGATTTGAATGCTAAAACTTACACATAAGTCAGATGTGTAACTTATGAAATTTTCCTGAAATGACACCACTAGAAAATTAATACATTTTTGAGCTAATCATTAGTCTGGCTTGGTCAGTAAAATCTGTCTTCTTTAAGAAATTCTTTTTTAAAAAAATCTATGTAGTGTATTAATCATACCTGCTTTTGTGGAATTGGGGATAAACCACACCATTAAGAGAATAAAAATGTAATTTGGAAAAGGTAATTATAAGATTTGTTTCAGGCCCCCAAAATATAAATAAAGATTGGTGTGGAATTTCAGTGTACTTGTTTTCTGCCATTGTAAAATAAAAGATCTTCTTAGTTGTTAGTATCTTAGTTATTAGTGTGGCATAATTTTTCTGTCTTTTTAGTTTGCATTATTTTACTTCCTCAAAGACATGAATTGTAATAATGGTAGGTGAGTTCTTAAAATTTTATTTGGAAACTTTTGCATCAGAATTATATTAGTTCCAAACTTAATGGAATACTGCCTTATGACCACCTTTACATTCAAACTTTTTCTTCTGCATATTTTAATTTATTGAATTTTGTAAAATTTTGTAAAACTACTTTGTAATAAGTATAGTTAATGGAAGTAATTTGACTTGCTGGCATGCCCTGGCTCTGCTAATTTAATATGTTGGACAAATCATTAAATTGCTGTGGGCCTCAACTTTTCTTAAAGGAATGAAATAGTCTCTAGGGTATTTGGCACTTTTAAACCTTAAGTTCTTAACTTTTTTGTTCATTTGTTTTTATCTTGCTTTATTTTGACTTTTTTATTTTTTAATTTTTGGTCTGAGACAGGGTTTCACTATGCAGTTTAGGATGGCCTTGAGTTCACTTTATAACCCTGAGTGCTGGAATGACAGATGTCCACCATTATGACTTTAAAAAAAATTATTGGTATGTAGTGATGTAATGGTCGTATTCATCATGGGGAATTTGTGCCTGTACATGATATATCTTGTGTTTCCCCCCAACCCCTCTCCTCTCTTCAACTCCCCTTCCTTATTTACATAAGCATTGTCTGCATTTTTTTCCATTTAAAAGTTTTCCTTCTTTTCCCCCGCCCCATCCCTTGTTCCCTTTCTCATTTGAATTGTTCTTTCCATTTCCTAGTATCTATTACACATTTTGGTCTTTATACTTTTGCTTTCTCAACTAGAGAATGTTTTATTAGTCTGAAACACACGACATGAATTAAACTTGTAACATAAAGGTTTGTTGGATATCATATAAGAGTTTAACATACACTGCTTCAACCCTGCCATATTCTAATTATGATGGTGCACAATTATAATTTTAATTGCCAGTTTATGTGGGGTTTTTTGGTTTTTGGGGTTTTTTTTGGGGGGGTACTGGGGATCAAACTGACAACTTTGTGCTTGCCAAACAGGCGCTTAGGCCACTGAACTAATAAATCCATTGCCCTGAATAAGAAAATTCTTGGGGCTGGGGATTTAGCTCAGTGGCATAAGTGCCTGCCTTGAAAGCAGGTAGTCATGAGTTCGATCCCCGGTACCGATAAAAAGGAAAAAGACCAAAAAAAAAAAAAAAAAAGAAAATTCTTTTGAAGAGAGAAAATTAACTGATAGAGCTATTTACCTTTTTTAAAATATAAAATAAGTGATAAGTAGATGTTACAAGTTTTGTAGCAAAATCAATGTAGACTACACCATGTTTATAGATGAGACCAGAGGTGGTCTGGAAAATATCATTAACACTAGCCTGTGTTCCAGCCAACAGTTTAAAACTTGGGCTTAAAGGTTATTGAACAAGTTTTGAAAATTACTATGAACTAGTTTTGTGTATCTGGGTCAAACTAGTTTTGGGGATTAAAAAGCTTTTGCTGCTTATTCAAGCAAATCATTTACTGCTTTAGTTGATGAACAGAAAGTATAGTGAAGGCCCTGAAACCCAGTGGGATGTAGTATATTCAAAGAGAATACAGTAAATTAAGTCCTTAAATTTTATTTAATCATATTTGGACTTGCTAGCCTGGTGTGGTGGCTCACACCTGTAATCCCAGCACGCAGAAGGCTGAAGCAGGAGGATCATTGTGAGCCCAAGACCAGCCTGAACTGCACAGTGAGACTGTGTCTCAAAAGACAAAAAAATTTTACTTAATCATATTTGGACTTTAGTTTTTCTTTGACTCAGTCACAACAAATACATATATAACATGGTAATTTCCTCCCATTTGTTTTTAGCAGTTTTCTGCCTTTATTGGAGAAATGGTCATGTATCTAAGGAGTGGTGGCTCTCAAGAGTAGATATAGAGTAGAAAAGTTTGCACCCAGTATTGTAGGTGAGGAGACAAAGTAATAAACATTACTAATTCAAGGAGCTGTTTACCTGTTTGACCCTGCTTGTTGAAAATACAGTATTTAATGTTGGAAATTTGTAATCATTCTTGTTGAGGAGAAGCCATCTTATACGTTCACAGGCACAATGTTACCGATCACAGTTCTAGCTAGCTCTGAATGAAGTTTGCTAATGTCCTCTGCTATATTACATCCTGCTCAATATACTAAGTCACATGAAAAAATGCTGAAAATTGGGCTCTGTCCCTCTGATATTTGAATGTCTTAGAAGGGAAACAGCCCTACCCTTGAAAAGTTCTTCCATTAAGCTGCAGAATCTGTTTTAGGAGGATAAAATATCCTTAGGAAGATGTTAAAGATGAACTAGGTCATGGTTTAACGGCATGGAATAGTGACTTATCTACTGTGATCACGAGGCTTGAGATCATGTAAAGTTAGGCAGCACAGAGGATCTTAAAGGTTATTTATAGTGTTAGGGATGTTATCTTCGTTGTATTCACAGTGTGTATAGATCTTGAACGTGAAAGCTAACCAGCCATTCAGTAATCCAGTTATAAAAATAGCCTGTAGAGGGCGCGAAAGGGTCTCGGAACCTTTCAGTTGGGGCTCTTTTGCGAGAGGGACCGGAAAAGGACGGATTCTTCGCCGGGATGTGGGGAAGCCGGAGGCTGAGCTCCTCTGGGGGTCATTTCTTAGGAGTTGTCGGGTCTGGGTGTCGGGTCGGACGAGCAGAACGACCTCGCTTAGCTTCGTGGGCAGGTGAGTGGTGCAAACGTCCCTTGCCTACGCGCCGTGGCCTCTACGCGGGGCCGCCCGGGCTCCGGGCCTGCGCACGCGAAGCTTGAGCCTGGGGGCTGGTCTCTGCGTCTGCGCCCGGACCGGCTCCTCGCGCTGCCGAGCCGAGAAGGAGCCCCGCAGCGCTTGGGGTCCCGCGGGCGGCCGTGTCCCATCCCGAGCCCTTCTGCTCGCGCTGCTTCGTCCCGTCCCGCGCTCGGCAGCCGGTGACCCACGCGGAACGCTGTCGTTTGAAGGTCGCGCTTCCTTTGCCAGGTCAAGGAAGACACCAGCTGGTCTCATGTAGTGATGATTCATAGCATTGGTTCAGTGTTTTATTTATGTATGTCTTGTTCTTTTGTTTTCCCCCCAGAAGGAATTTAAGGCAGCTCTACTAGTTTTTGATTAATAGTTCATGCAAAAGACCGTATGGGTATGCTGAAGAGGATAACCAACTGCGTGTAACCCACGTAACAAATAATGTATGATAAGACACTAGGGGCACTAGAATTTTAAAAGGAAGGGTACTTGAAGTCTTTCAAATACAGTATTAGGATAGAAGCTGGGCAAGGTGGCAGCACACCTGTAATCTCAGCACTAAGGCTGAGGCAGGATTGCTGTGAGTTCAAGGCCAGCCTGGACCTTATAGTGAGACCTTGTCTCAGAAAACAAAAAACAGAATCATAATTGATCAGGATATAATAAGCAAAAAAAAAAGAAAGAAAATTCAACACTATACCAAGAGTTGAGAAGTTGGTGCTCTAGTGAAGAAATGTACAATCAGAGTTCAAATGCATTTCTTTGTGCTGGGTAAATGATCAGGATACCGTTTTAAAAATGTAAAGTACAAGTCTCTATATAGCATGAATTTAGAGATACAGATTTATTTGAAGATAAACAGTTTTAGCAGTGATGAACTATGATGAAGTCGGTGTTCTATCATTATCCTTTAAGTACTTTTCTCAAAAATTTTTTCAATATTTCTTTTATAATCAAATTTTAAAAACTGAAACCATTTCTAAATGTGGTAGTGGTGGTATAAGAAGGAGCTAATCTAATTTGCAACCAGGGAAACTTCCTCACTGAGAATTGTTTAGAAGGAACTGGGTCATGTTAGAGGCACTGGGAGAACCCAGAAGGCCAGCTGGAAAATTTCAAGTTTGTGGGAAACTACAGTGTCCCTGGAGAGTAAAATGTGTGGCTGGAAATTAGATAATGAGGATCAGAGAGTAGCAAGAGATGAGATGAGACTTCTTAGGCCATAAGATATTCGTAAAAAGTCACATCATCTCCCGGAGGTAGACTATCCTGAGGACTGTGGAAATTATTGAAGGAGCAGTGCAATTTGGTTTAAAGTAAAAAGAAACAACACTTGGCAGCTGTGTAGAAAGTGGGCAGAGCCAGGCAGGTCTGGGATTAAAGACATTAAATGAAGATTGCTGAAATATGGTATTAGGATAAAAGTTGCTTCACTTGTTCACTGCCTGCATGAAGCCAGTTAAGTGCTGAATAAATTACTTAAGTAAATTAAATGAAGCCTCCTCCCCTCAGTTTAAGTAACCGAAAGTATAACAAAAGAAAACATAAGAAATTGTCTTAATAAAATCTAAAAAATCTTAAGTAGTTAAGTTTAATCAAGAACATTTAATATGGTAAGAAAACCTCGTTGCTTTAGACATAAAAAACTTTTATCCTCTCAGCTATAGCCAACTTAATTATATATTATAAATTCAGTATGTCTGGGAAAAACTAGAGAAGACACATCACTGTAGAGAACTGAGGCAAATTGAGTCAGGCAGCTGATTTTACTGCGCACGCGAAGCTTTGAATCTATAGAAAGGAGTTTAGTTCTATAGCTTTGAAGCTATAGAAAGGAGTTTTGTCTAGCAATTCTCCAACACCAACAGGTCCATGTATATATATATGAAAAGGGAAAAGGGAAAAACTAATTTATTGTACACAGAAAACAATAGACTTTGTATTTATAAAACACATTTTTAAAATATTATCTTGATTGGCTAACAACCTGGATGAAAATATATGATAAACTTCAAAGACATCTTTTTTTAATTAACCAATTTAAACTAGCTCTCTGTTAAGTCATATGAACCGTAAATGTTTGGGCTAATGTAATGAATGTCTTATCTATAACCCAACTAAATAAAACACGTACCTGAAAAGTAACACATGGAAACACACATTAACTTAAGCTTATGAAAGTCTCAAAAGAGTCAGAAGTTTAAAAGAACAAAAATTAAATGGAAAGGTAAAATTAATAAAAGCTCAAAAAAATCTTCAATGAAGCACTTTCAGATATTTTAAGTAGTTATTAAAAATAGATTCTAGGACCGAGTATATAGCTCAGCAGTACAAGCACCTGCCTGGCAAAGTGCAAGGTCCTGAGTTCAATTCCCAGTAAAAAAAAAAAATTCTATAGGCAGACAAACAATGAAACATAGAATATATGAAGCAAATATTTTAAAATCACAGTACAAGGACTAGGGGTTTAGCTCAGCGGCCTAAGTGCCTGCTTGGCAAATGTGAAGTCATGAGTTAAATCCATGGTACCAAAAAAACCCCAAAAAAACAAAAAGGCTAAACATAAAATCACAGTGCACTTGTAAATGTGTTGGCCATGCTGAATTATAAAAACTCTTTCTATTTTTGGTACTGGGAATTGAACTCAGGACCTTGTGCTTGCCAGGCAAGCACTTGTGCCACTAAACTAAATCCCTGGCCCCCATAATAACCCTTTTTATAATGTTAGGTTTATAACTATAAATAGACTAGTCAGAGCTTTACCTAGGGAATAGGATAGCAGTTTTTAAGTGAACTGTTTAACAGAGGCCTTGTAATACAACACCAGTAAGAGTAAGAAGGGAGAAAGATAGGCTGTAATTGTTAGATATTAAATTGTTAGGTATAATTGTTAAGAGTTATAAATTACTATACTTACTCTAAAACTAAATTTGAGGCCTTCTCTCTTTTTATAACTATGAAAGCAAGGACATTTTAAAGACGACCCTTAATTTGATAATTTACCTTAAGCTTTGGAATAGCTGCTACCATAGTGGAGACCTCTTGGGATCCTTTGTATGAGAATTATTATTAGAAACTGCTCCTTTGATAACCACACTGTTTTTTATGCAAATGTTTGCCTCCGGGAGAACAGACCTATTAAAGGTTTGGTGTTGTAATGGACACTTTTTCGGGCAAGCACCTCCTCCATCCCACCTTTCTCCCTGTCTCTCCCTCTCCTCCCCCTCTCACTTTCTTGTAGGAGGATTAAATTTAGGTCAGTTTTTAAAGATTATAGCCCAAGGGATAAGGCAGACAGAGTTGGAAACCTGAGACCCATCGTGGGTCCTTCAGGGATACTTTCCCCAAGTGTTCCCTAGGATGATAAATCTCCATCCCAGGGAGAGGCAGAATATACTTGCTTCCTTTGGTGCATCTTCTAAACCAAGAGACACCATGGCACTGGGACCACCATTTAATTGATCAGATTGGACCATATGACCTAACAAGATACCAGTGGAGGTACAGAGACAGGGAAACTCATCCTCTTGGAGAGCTGGAAGCTGCCATCAAGATTGGAAAATCTGTGCTCTAGTCCAGTAGCCACAGATGGGCAGAAGAAGGCAGATTTACCCTGGTGGGCTGCTGCCATCAACGGCTCTGGGTCGAGAGTGGAAGAGGTCCTAAAAGAAGAGACAGTGGCCTGCTAACGAGTGATACTGGAGGCTACAGCTGTAAGTGGAAAATACGGCTTTCTGCCAGGGCCTGGCACGAACTCAGCTGAGACCCTGATGGCCTACAGCAGGAATCGTAGTCCGGAGGCCTTTGGGGCCCTGATCTGGTTTTGTTCTGTTAATGAAATCATCTGGGCTGTAACCCCTAATTCTTGGGAGAATGATAAGGTAAAAGGAATAGAAAGTGCCTAATCCAGTGATGACAAACCCTTTAGAGCTTTCAGTGATACAAACAGCCCACTGTGGCGTGCTATAGGTTCGGGGCCACTAGCCTAGTCTGACAGTGTCTTTCTTTACAAGGCGCAGCAGTTTTATCTATAGGGAAAAAGCATAAGGTTATCTAGTCAAAACAAATCAACACCAATTGTGTCTAATAAATGTAATCACATAGTTAAGTGGAGGGAAAAAGATAAATACTCAATCTGTTACCTCCTGTCAGTTTCAGTTTGCTAGATATGAAGTACAGAATTGATCTTGGGGGACCACCGGTATGACTCAGTTAATTCTGTATAAACCCGGAATCCTTTGTCTCAGGAAACTGAAGGATAAAATCACAAAGGAGTTGGGAGGGAGGGAGTTGGGAGAATATTTATTGGGAATAAGAAAACTTATGGTGTACGCCCACCACAAAAGAATCCTGAAAGCAGAATTGTCCTGAAAAGAAATTTCTGTTTTTAGTTTTTGAGGGATTTGCATGGTGGTGTCACTAGTTGTCATTCCCACCAGCACTGCGGAAGGGTTCCTGTTGTCCCACTGCTGCCCTCAGCCTCGGCAGCATTTGTTGTTTCTTTTTGAGTCCTTAACGATGGTCGTCCTTATTAGAGTAAGGTGGACGCTCAGTGTTGTTTTAACTTGCGTTTCTCTAGTGGCCATCAGTGTTTAACATTTTCTCATCTGTTTATTGCCCATTTGTACTTCTTCATCTGAGAAGTGTAAGTTCATTTTAGTTGCGCCTTTTTGACTGGATCTTTATTTTGGGGGGCCTAATTTTTTAGTTTTTATATATTCCTGATATTAGATTACTACTTTGTCTAAGGTATAACTGGTAAAAGTTTTCCCCATTTTGTAGGCTGTCCCTTTACTCTTCGTTTAGCTATATACATATCAAGCATCTCTGCTGTGTAATACTTTTCTCTATACATTAATTTTTTTTCAGTTTATTCAGATAGCCAGCTCATTTGGACTTTACAAAATAAACCATGGATTTTCAGTGAACACAGAACTGTGTGTTTCAAATCCTGTAGGATGACCTTTTCCTCTTTGAATAGAATTAAAAGTTACTGGTGAGTATATTTATTGCTTTGGCAGATATTTACATAATTATATGCAATAGTAATTGAGTAATATTTTTATGTTCCATAAACATGGTTAGTATGTAATAGCTTTTGTGGTTTGATTACCTTTTATTTGGTTAGCTTTTATTTAAATATTCTTAACTAATTTATTTTGTAATAGCTTAAATTTGGGAAATTTTAAGCCCATAAGTTGGTAGAGTAATATAGTCAACAGCCAATCCGTATCTTTCATCTAAATTCAGAGGAAAGCCTTTATTTTTGATAGGAGACTGTGTTACAGGGAGAGAGATTTTTAATTACAGTATTTGTATGACAGAACATAACCATGTGGTGCTTAAAATCGTAAGTGATCTGGAAGGCATATGACTATAAGGTAGATGCATTCTAGGAGTAAGGTTAGATCAGAGTAATGCTTTCTGTACCTGTGTTTAATAAGCCAGTGTGTAACCTTGTGAAAAATACTGCATAGCATCAGAATGAGCTCTTTTCTATGTGTGTGCTCCTGCTTACAAATGAGAACTTTGAGATTGGGTATGTCTGAAACCATTGTCACCAGAGCAACTTCCATTGTGATCTGTTGCAAATGAGTGAGCTGGGCACAGTGGTGTGTACGAGTAGTCCCAGCCACTTGGGAGGTTGAGGCAGAAGGATCAAAGGTTAATTAAAAGGTCAGCATTCTCTGGTTCAATCCTCAGTATAGGAAGGGAGGCAAGGCTGGAGGGAGGGACAGAGCCTAGGGAAAAAGAAAGGAAGCTTATTATAGATCAGTCCTTGGTTATGATGTTTTATGTTAAGCATGAAAAAAGAGACTAATATTCCTAAACTAATATTAATGTTAAAGAAAAGTGACATTTGAAGTTATTTAGCTGCTTATTTTTGCAGTATTGTTAACTGAACCCAAGGTCTTCACACTGACCCACATCCCACCCTTCCCTCTGCTTTTATAAAAATTGGAGAGAATATCTCTGTAAGTTGTTAAGTTGCCAAGCTGGCCTCAGACTTGTAATACTCTTGCCTCAGCTTCCTGGAGTGTTAGGGTTATAGCAAGAACCAACATCCCTGGGTAAATCTTAAAAGAAAGAAAACAGCAATGAATTATAGAATGCACTTTTCATATATATCTAAGAAACGCAATGTAACTTTGAATGTTACTACCTTTTCTAACTTAACTACTTTACCCAAGCAGATGTTTGAAGTACTTTTTTTGCACTGTGGCTATGATTTAGAACTCAATGTAGTGTCCTAGTTTCTATTTAGACCCTGTTTGGGCTTTTTCTTCAGATTGTTTTTTGGCAAATGTCTGTGAGCACTGGCTATATTCCAGGAACTCTACTAGTCCCTAGGAGTAAAACCGTCTTCAAGACAGTCCCTGCCTCGCCTACACGGTGCTTAGGGTCTCGTGAGGAGGCAGGTATGACCAAATTGTCATTTGATACTGTGTTGATTACTTTTCTCTCACTGCTGAGACAAAATGAAGGACAGAAAGGTTTTTTTAGCTCACAGTTTGTGGTTTCAGTCCATATTCAGCTGGCTTCAAGGCAGAGTGGCATGGTTGAGGGGCAACCATTTATGGCACTGCAGCAGATACCCAAAAATAACAAGAGCAGAAGGATGAAGCACACCTCTTTCCCTCCCTTATATTGTAAGTAGGCTACGCCTCTTGGGTGGGTATAGCACACACACCATTGAATGAGGTTGTTACAAAGGACCCTGGCCCCTTGCTGAATCACTTAAACTTTTGATCTCAAATTGACACAGTGAACAGTATCCTAGAAAGGCAAGGGCATGACCTTTATACCCCAGGATGGAGAGCTGCGGAGTTACTTTGATAAGCTTCTAGACTTCTCAAGTTCACACAGTATATCAACCATAACCGAGCCCATGAGAAAGCACAAAGTTGTGTAAGAGTTAAAACAGGGGCTGGTGACCCACTTATAAGGATCAAGAAAGAGTTTGCAGATAACATTCCATTCAAACTAAGATCTAAAGGATGAGAAAGAATGAATTAGGCATTTGGAGGAAGAGAGCGATGAGGGATACTGAAAGAATGTTCTAGGCAGAAGACAAAATCTGCAAATTGCCTGTGGAAGAACAAGCAGGACAGTGTGAAGACTCTAAAGAAGGCCTGTGTGGCTGCAGGGGAGGGAGAGCGTGGGGACAGGACAGACGGGTGAGTTTGGAGAGCAGGGAGTTGGGGACTAAATAATTCTTTTTGTTCGCTTTTTGGCCCTTTGGCTTTTTGAGAAGGATCTCTCTGTGTAGTTCAGGCTGGTCTTAAGCTCACTTTGTAGCCCAGGCTGGTCTCGGACTTGCAGTGATCCTCCTGCTTCAGCCTCTTGATTGCGAGAATTACAAGCATGCACCACCATATCTAGCTCAATAATCCTGAGCTAGATATGGTTAGCTAGATAAGCCACGCAGAGGACTTTAGTCTTTATTATTAGTATTAGATAGGAAACACAAGGCCAAATTTTATAAATGTTTTTAGTTGTAACTTATTGTAAAAATAAACTAATTTTGTTTCTCAGTGAATATATGTGAGCAGTTTATTGTCAACATTGAGCATTTATTTATCTAGAAGCAAATAACTTAGAATATTTTCGTACACCATTGTTCCATGTTACAGTTTTACCAACATGGGTATTCATGTGCTCTTTGTTTTCCTAGGCCACCTTTGACCAGACCATACAGTGCTGCCCACACCACGGTTGACAGCAGTGAGGTGAAAACCTTCCTGGCCCTGGCCCACAAGTGGTGGGATGAGGAGGGTGTCTACGCGCCGCTCCATTCTATGAACGACCTGAGGGTGCCATTCATTAGGTAGCATCCCAGAAACTCCAAGGCTCTGGTAGCAAGGCTCTTTTTAAGAATTCATCCTCGTTTTCACTTTCTCTTGGTTTATACTTAAGTTAAAAATACTACATATTAAGTTTTCTTTGGAAAGTAGGGAGAGTTTCTTTGATGCTCACTGTTTGAAACAAATAATTTTTAGTAAAATTGCCCAGTGTCTAGGCTGCTTTCATAACATTACTTGAAGCATTATTGGACATTTCAGGTTAATTAGAACTAAATTCTCATGAAAGGAAACTAAAGCATCAAGGCCATGTATAGCTACTGACCTGCTGTGACCCCATTAGCCTGCAGGCAGCTTAGGTAAAGAAATGCTGTGCTGCTGAGGCAGATGATTCAGCAGGTTGTTCTGAGACCTCATCTTCCAAGGGCTCTGGGGCTAGACTCTGAAAGCTTCTAGAGTGAAAGAAACTTTGTCTCTGTATTTGCTATGGCAGGGCTTGCATTTAAGAAAATATTTTGTACATTTATGTATTCATCAAACATTTCTAAGTAACTGATATGGAGAAGCCACTTAATTGACACAGAATATCATGCTCAGACCCTACTCTCAAGGGAGTTTCCAAGTGGGTTTTGGTGGTTCATGCAGAATCAGTACAACAAAGAAGAAATAATGACATCTTTTTAGTATCACTGAATTCGAGAATCACTGAAATACTAAGTCAGAGAAAAGCAGGAATGTTGTTTTATTAGACTAGACGGTTTGTTTCTCAAAGTTTAGGACCTGGATCAACAAAATCAGATACCAACCTTGGATTTGTCAGAAATGCACATTCTAAGACTCTGTCTGAGGAGTCAGCAATCAGTATTCTGAAAACCTTTCAGATGATTTTGATTAGTTTGAGAACTCCATTTGAACCACTGTGGCATATTTATTTAGACAACATAAAATGGACTACTACAGCAGTGCAGGCTATGGCATTTATCAAAAAATATCAGTACTCCAGCTGAAATAGGGATTGACAGTTCATCAAAATTGTATTCGCTTACAGTTGATAAAATTAATCATTTATTTTTATATTTAAAAATTTTTTAAGAGACAATCTTTTGAAAACAATGGCTAATCACCATCCTGGCAAACCTTTGTCTGGCATGAAGATTCTTGATGTTGGCTGTGGTGGTGGATTATTAACTGAAGTAAGTGATGGACAGCTTGTCTGTCATTAATGGGAAAAATATTTGACAAGGCATTTGTGCTTAACTTACCATTTGACAACTAATATTCATTATTTTAGATGAGTAATGTTGATTTAAATTGTTTTACGATTATAACCTTTTTGTTATTGTACACATAGTATATGCTTTTAAACTTTTTTTAAGAATCTAAAAATTTTAAGTTGAATGAGTACATGCTTGTAATCCCAGCACTGTAGGAAGCTGAGGCAGGAGAATCCCAAGTTTGAGCTCAACCCAATTAATTTAGCAAGTTAGCATGACCCTGTGTCAAAATTTTAAAAGAAAGGCTGGAGATATAGCTCCATGGGAATGCTCTGGGTTCAATCACCAGAATAGATAGATAGGAGATAAATAAGAATATCAAGAGTTTTTTAAAATTAAAAATAGGACATAGCAGGGGATTTAGCTCAGTGACATAAACGCCTGCCTGGCAAGTGCAAGGTCTTGAGTTTGATCCCCAGTACCAAAATAAATAAATGAATAAATAAATAAAAATAGAAAAACAGGACGTAGATCATTCAGATAGCTTCCTGTGAACTCTTCTGTCACAAGAAATTAATGAGTTCCTACTGGCTTAAATGTCATAGTAAGCTGTTCTTTTTAATTTAATCTATAAAAACCTAACAGAACTTTGCTTATTAGTAGTTGTAGAGTACTTGCAAGAGTATCATTCTTCCTGTGAGGAATATTTACTTCAGTTTATAGTAATTTGATGCCTTGCAGCTTTATATTCTGTCAGCACTGTATCATAATTAGATCTTTTCCCCCCCAAATTCATTTTATTTCAAAGAGCAAAAAATAAAATAAAACTTTAAAACACAACAATCAGGGGAAAACATGGTATGTGCATTGCACATTGACATCCCCAAATCACTCGGAGCACAAGATATCTGCATTGTCTGAAGAGTGCCAGCACAAAACTTTCTCTTCAGTGAGCTCCAATCAGTAGTACAATTCTCTTAACTGTATTACTTATATATATATATATATATATACACACACACACACACATACACACACACACGTACATACACACTTTCAGCTTCTCACAGTAGTGAGACAACACAATGTTTACACATGCATGTCTGATTTATTTCACTTATGAGTATGATCTCAAGTTATATCCATTTAACTATAAAAGTCTCAATTTGTGCTTTTATGGCTGAGTAGTACTCTATTATGTAAAAGTACCACATCTTTTTAATCCATTCCTCAGTCGATGGGCATTTGTGAACTTGTTTCCAAGTTCTGGCTGTTACAAATTGTGCTGCTATGAACACTGGTGCACATATATTTCTATGGTATGATGTTTTTAATTCTTCTGGGAAGATACCCAAAAGGGGAATACCTGGGTCAAATGGGATCTCCAATCCTAGTTTTTTTGAGGAATCTCCACACTAATTTCCACAGTGATTGCACCAGTCTACACTCCCACCAACAGGGGAGAAGGGATCCTTTTCCCCACAGCTTCTCCAACATTTGTTGTTGGATGATTTCTGGTAATAACTATTCTTTCTGGGATGAGATAGAATCTCAGTGTTGTTTTAATTGCATCTCTTTTTTTTTGTCTTTTTCCTTTTTATCAGTACTAGGGATCGAACTCACGACTGCCTGCTTGCAAGGCAGGCGCTTATGCCACTGAGCTAAATCCCCAGCCCCTTAATTGCATCTCTTGAGTGACTAGTGATATTAAACATTTTTCATATATTTATTTGCTCTTTGTATTTCTTCATCTGAGAAGTGTGTGTTCATCTCAGATGCCCATTTTCTGATTGGGTCTTTGAATATGGTTATTAAATCTAGAAGTCTTTCAGTGGAGTTTTTGGGGTCTTCTATGTATAAAGTATCATGTCATCTGCAAATAGTGCTAATTTAACTTCTTCCTTTCCTGTTCTTATTCCTTTTACTTCTCTTTCTACTTGTTCTGGCTAACATTTCCAGAACTGTAATCAGTAGGTGTGGTGATAATGGACATCCTTGTCTTTTTCCTGAGAAAGTGAAAGCTTTAATATGATATTGGCTGTTGGTTTGTCTTAAATTTTAGAGTGAAAGTTTCAGTTTTTGTCCATTTAGTATGATGTTGGCTATTGGTTTGTCATAGATGACTTGTATCAGATTGAGATAGAAACCATCTATTCAGATTTTCTATAGGGTTTTTATCATGAACAAATGTTGGACTTTATCAAAAGCTTTTTCTGCATCTATTGAAATGATCATGATTTTCATCTTTGGCTCTGTTGATGTGGTGTATTAGATTTATTGATTTGCATATGTTGAACCATCCTTGCATCCCTGGGATAAATCCCACTTGGTAATGATGTATAATCTTCTTGATGATTTTTTGCATTCTATTTGCCAGTATCTTATTGAGAATCTTTGTATCAAATGTTCATTAGTGAGACTGGCCTATAGTTCTCCTTTTTGGTTGGGTCTTTCTCTGGTTTTGGTATCAGTAATACTTGACCACAGGAATGAGTTAGGGAGGATTGCTTCATTTTCAGCTTCATTAGAGAGTTTGAAGAGCACTAGTGTTAAATCTTCTCCACATTTCTTTTCCTTTTTTTTTTTTTTTTTTTTTTGGTCTTTTTCCTTTTTATCGGTACCCGGGATCGAACTCACGACTGCCTGCTTGCAAGGCAGGTGCTTATGCCGCTGAGCTAAATCCCCAGCCCTTCTCCACATTTCTTATAGAATTCAACTGTGAATCCATCAGGACCTGGGTTTTTTTTGTTGTTGGTGGTGGTGTTTTTAATTACTTTTTCAATTTCAGTAACTGATACTAGATTATTCAAAATTTTTTATCTTCTTGCTTCAGCTTTGATAATTTATGTTTCTAGGATTCTGTCCATTTCCTCTGCTTTCAGCCTATGTGAGTAAAAATTTTCAAAGTAGGTATTCATACTCTTCTGAATTCCCACAGGATCTGTAGTAAGTTTTCGTTTCTCATTCCTTATTGCATGTATTTGATTTTTTTCTTTCTTTTTATTGGTAAGGTTTACTGGGGGTTTATCAGTTTTGTTTATTTTATCAAAGAACCAAGTATTTGACTCAATAATTCTTTGTGTTGTTGTCTTAGTCTCTATTGCGTTAATTTCTGCTCTGATCTTTATAATTCCCTCCCTTCTATGAGCTTTGGGCTTGACTTGCTGTTGTTTTTCTAGGAGCTTGAGGTGCAGCATTAGGTTTATTTGTGCTCATTCTGTTTTCTTGATGTGACAGTTCATTGCTATATATTTCCCTCTGAGGACTGCTTTCATTACATCCTACAGTTTTGGTGTGTTATATGTGCATTGTCATTGGATTGCAGATACTGTTTAATTTTTTCTTTAATTTCCTCTGTAACCCATTGGTTGTTCAGGAGGGTGTCGTTTAATCATGTGTTTATGTAGGTTTTGCAGTTTCTTTTGTCATTAATTTCCAGTTTCAGTGCACTGTGGTCAGATAATATTCATGGGATAATTTGAGTTCCTTTGCATTATTTAAGCATGTTCTATGGGCTGATATATGGCCTATTTTAGAGAATGTCCCGTGTGCAGCTAAAAAGAGTGTGTATTTTGATGTTGTTGGGTGGAATACTCTGTAAACATCTAGTAAGTCCATTTGTTCATAGGTTTGGTTGAGTTCTGTTATTTCTTTGCTGACTTTTTGTCTAGTTGATCTATCTCTTTGTGACAATGAATATTAAGGTCCCCTGTTAGAACTGTGTTATTGCACATTTGGTTTTTCATGTCTATTAGTCTTTGTTTTATATAGTGAGTGTTTCTGTATTTCATGCATATATATTTAATTGTTATCTCTTTCTCTTGAATTTTTATCCTAACAAGTATGTAGTAATCTTTTTAATCTCCTCTGGTAATTTCTGAAGTTCACATTGTCTACAAACAGAATAGCTACCTCTGCTTTTTTCTGGGTTCCAGTGACATGAAATACTGTTTTCCATCCTTTGACTTTAAGTCTGTGAGTTTCCTTTTGAGCCAGCTATGTTTCTTGTATATAGTATATTGTTGGGTCCTTTTTCTTCATCCATTCTGTCAACTTTTTTCTTTTAATTGGTGAATTGAGGGCATTTACATTGATGGTTATAACAGGTATGTACTGGTTTAATTTTGTCGTGTTATTTTCCCATTGTTGGGTCCCTGTTTTTCCTCCTTGTTTAATTGCTGGCCCTCCCTGGTCCTCTCTTTCTGCTGTTGTTCCGGGGATTGTGATCATTTTTGTGTCTCTCTAGTATGTCTTTCAGTAAGTCTTCTTTCTAGGATTGGTTTGGTGCACGTGAATTTCTTCAGTTGTTCTTTGTCATGGAAGCATTTTATTTTTCCATTAATTTTCAAAGAAAAAATTGATGTCAGTTTGGGCTGAAAGTTGTTCTCTTTCAGGCTTGAAATGCTTTACCCCAAGCTCATCTTGATTTGAGGGTTTGTGATGAGAAGACTGCCATGATTCTAACAGGCTTTCCTTGTGTTAGAGTCTTTTTTCTCTAACAGCTTTTAGCATTCTGTTTTAATGCTGAATTTCAGGGATCTTGATTATTATATGCTGGGGTGTAGATTTATTTTGGTTATGACTGTTTGGCATTCTACATGCCGCACTTATCTGCATATTAGATTCTTTTCCCATGTTTGGGAAATTTTCTGCTATTACTTTTGTGAATAGTTTTTTTGTGTGTGTTATTTTCATTTACACATACTGTTTTTCTTTGCATTATTTTGAATCTGTTGAATTGTTATTTCATGATCTCTTGTTACTTTTAAAAGTTCTTTCCTTTCCTGATTGCGAATTATGATTCTGTCTTTAAGGTCTAAAAGTCTATCTTCAGTTTCATTCAGGTGGTTTTACCAGCTCTCAGTGGAATTTTTAATTTCCTGAATATCTCATTGAATTTGTTTCATAAATTCTATTTCTTTCCTATATCATTTTTAAATGATTTGCTTGATTTTCCCATGCTCTTGTATGTTTTTATC